AAATGGTTGATATGTCGGTTTATAATAAAATTCATTCATTCATTTCCTTTTTAGCTTAGTTCCTTAATTAAATTGGTGTCGGCACAGTGGAATGAACCACCAACTTATCCAGCACATGTTTTACGCAGCGAATGCCCCTCCAACCACAACCCATTTGGTAAAATTACTGGAATTAATTCATATACTATGAAAAATCAGAAAATACGAAGTGTAAGACCAATTTATTAAAAAAATATATTCAAAATAAAACATTTCTGAATACTAAATCATATTTTCTTTTTGAAGTATGGCATAAAATATTGTTAGATTCTCAGTTAACATGCATTTAGTTTTATTGAAAAAAAAAAAAAACAAGAGAGCAAGTGTAGAAGTGCAAAAGGATTGTTTGATTTTCTTTGTAAACCAACAATGCTGTGTGTGTAAAAGCATTATTTATTATCATTTATTTATTTAAAGTCAGTTTATTTACAGTAAATTATTATTTACAGTCATTCTTTAAATTACTTTAACACTAATTTTTTAAAACAGTAAAAACTTGGTCAGCCATTTGGTAGAGTGGCAGTCAAAGGGTTATGGTACAGAAACCTTGTAAAAAAACTGCCAGTACATTTTCTACAATTTTAAAGACTTATTTCTCTCTATATTGTTTTGTATACATTATATTGTTTCAAACTACTGAAATGTCAATGAAAGTCACTTTGTTAAACTGTCGAGTTTAATTTTTTTAACATCAAAAGTTGACAGAGCAGAGATCAAGCTCCTATAATGCAGTTCGCAACCATAAATTAACAGAAAACACTTGTGAATCAATTTCTGAAGCTGTGTATTAAAATATATTTGTTTACAGTGTAGTGTGCTTTAAAACTGAGACAAAACGAAAAAAAATCCTTCTTAAATGCATGTCTCTTCACTTTGCTAAGGGTCACCAATATTTTATGAAATCACTGACTACATAAGATATTCAGTCCAGTCAAATGCCCTCTAGTTTCTGCACTACAAAAAAAAAAAAAAAAATGCTGCGTTATATCAACCCAAATCTCGGTCAGTGTACAAAAACATGCAATTTAGGTTAATTGACTAATTCAAATTGGCACCACAGACATGCACCTAGTAAGTAGTAATCTGTTAAGAGCAATCACCATCTGTTCATTAGTTTCTACAGCAGGGGACTTCTCGAGATCTACCTGAGCTCAAACTCCCCTCTCGCCTTGCAAACGGGAGGGAGCCTTGGGCTCGAGGACCTTATAAACTCAGGGCTCTCTCCCGGGACAGCATGCCAAACAAGCTTTATAATCAATCATCAGCTAAGTGTAAAGTCTTGAAATTAACTTAATTGATTTGTGTTAAGACTTCGTAAAGGAATTTATGGAACCAAACTTTTTTACAGTGTAATACAGACTAGTCCAACTGCTGTTTTTTATTTTTTATTTAAGTAATAGGATAAAATTTAATTTAATGTTTGTGTTAGTTTGTGTTTCTTTACCTAACTTGGCTTTATTTCTTGGATCGTGAAGTGTTCTGGTCCCTACGAGACATGACTGAAATTGCTGTTTTATGACATGTAAAGGCTGAGATATACTAAGTTTGAAGTTCACCCATTAGGTAGCATCTCACCATCTGTGAGTGTCTGTCAGGCTAGTTTGTTTGGCCTGTTTCATTAGTTGACTCTCATCAGGCTCAAATTGGAGGACTTTTGCCCAATTCAGCATATAGAATCATCAATTGTCATAAAAAAAAGCAAGTGCTCTGATTTGTAGCTGAACAGCCAATCAGATTGCTCTTTCATCACAATCGACATACATGCTCAATTGGGGAAACTCCCTACAACATGACCTCGATGAGAGTCAACAAGTGGAACACACCAAACAGACTATCCTAACAGAAAACTAAAACCAAAATGTTTTCTGACGAAACTAAGCAAACAATGCAAGTCAAAAAAATTGTCCAATTAAACATCATGAACAATATGAAAAAAGAGGTATGTGTTGGGCAGGAATCACTCAAAAGATGCCCTATGTACAGAATGTGTGTGAATGTGTGTGTGTGTGTGTGTGTGTAGACAGGAAGGGTCTTGCACTGTCCAGCTGTAACCTCACACCTCTTTCTCCTCCTCATGACATGTCAGCACATGAACCTGTGATGTTTCCATGTCTAGCTTATCTTCACAACTAGCTAAATATGTCTGTGCTGAGTGACATTAGCATGAGCTTGATGCTTTCCATCCTTAAGTTCTGCAGGGCAAGCCATATGCTCTCACCTGCCAGTCTGAAATTGATTGATTTATATGCACGCATGCATTCATTTTATATTTCTGTACATTTTTGTTAAGTATTTTATATATTTCTATTGGAATTGTTAATGTATTAATAAACTATTTTATAGTTTTAAAATGGGTTTTTTATTTTATTTAAGCATTTTTACAGTATACTTGTACAATTCTGTTAACTCCTTGTTTCTGAGCAATCTAAAACTGAAAAAGCATTGAAATTCTCTTCCTTAGGCAAGAACAAGTTTTATATTTTCAAGAAAAGAGTCGAGAAAAAAGTATTGTATGTTTTTAACCTTTGTCTCCTGGGTAATATAAAAATAATTTACAGTGTTCTCGTGGTGTAAAGCATTTATTAAACATGTCAGTGCAATAATACCATAGTAAATTTTGTTCATGAATGTCCTCTGGGAACAATGAGCTAGAATGTTACTTTCTTATACAATTCCTTGTGTCATTTTGCGTTCCAGTGAACGTGTTTTCTTGCTCAAACAGAAGGTTGCGTGTTTGTTCATGATATCAAACATTCCCATACATGTACAATCTATCTGAATATTCTTTAGAGCGCCAGCTGTCTGTTTTATTCATACATTTCTTTTTCTGAGCAAGAATTCAACTACATTTTGCTCACAAAAGACACTACACTCTGCCAAACATAATACTTTCCTATAACATTTCACAACTAAAACAAGGCAAAATCCACTGCTTGATTTTCCACCACGACTGTCAATGTTGAACACTTCCTCCACAATATGTATTTGAGCAGACTAATGAAATGCTTTTTAACCCAGTCCCACGCTGTTGTCCGTCCCTGACCAATGAGCTGCACGATTCTTAATCAACTGACAATTGCAAATCGGGTTTTTTTGTACATTAAAAATAAAGATCACAAAGTTAAATAATGATTTATTGGAGGTCCTGACAAAACTTAATTAGCTTTAATAAACCTTTAAAAAAAATTTTTTTGGGGTGGGGTGGGGTTGGGGGGGGGGAATTATTATTCTTCCTAATGTGGTTTTAAACCTTTATGAGTTTCTTTCTTATGTTGAACACAAAAGAAGATGTTTTGAAAAATGTTTTTAGCTGGCACCAATTACCAATTGGCTTCATTATTTAGATATTTATGGTTTAGGAGATTACATTAAAGGAATATTCACCCAAAAAATAAAAATGACCTAGTTTATGGTCCCTCATGGGGTTTTAAACCTTTGAGTTTCTTCTGTTGAACACAAATGGAGATGTTTTTTTGAATTCTCGTTGCTGGGACCTGTTGACATTCGTAGTAGGGATAAATTACCATAGAAGTCAGTGGGTCGCAGAAATCAGCATTTTTCAAAATGTCTTCTTTTGTGCTCAACAGAACAAATAAACTCATTAAGGTTTTAAACTACAAAAGAGTGAATAAATGATCATTTAAATTATAATATTTTTTTAAAATCTAAGTTTGAAAGTATGATTCATAAACTTGCTCATAAAGATGTATCGTTTCATTACTAGATCACCCAGAATTTTTAATATTCTCTTGATCAATAATTTAATGACAAATATGTCATTAATAGTGTCAATGTATCATTAGAAGAATCAGTTTGCTTTCAAGTTGTAAGTTTTTTTTTTATTTTATTTTTTTATGTTCATAGATGGTTATCCAAGTACTTCTATACAATTAAAGGAATGGTTCACCCAAAATTGACAATCAATAATTACCTCATCATTTCTAAAAAAAAAAAAAAAAAAAAAAAAAGATATTTTGAAGAATGGTAGGGAAAAATAGAAATCAATGGTGGCCAACAACAAGCATTCTTCAAAATATCTTCTTATGTGTTCAACAGAAAAAAGAAACTCAAATAGCTTTTGAACAAGTGAAGAGTGAGAAAATAATGACAATTTATTTTTGGGTTACCTATACATTAATAATGATAATTATTAATTACGTTAATTGCAATGATAATTCTATAATAATAATAATAATAATAAAAATAATAATACTAGATGGAAAAACTTAAAGACCAAATATGATGACTGCTCTCTCTTTGTTAAATGCAGATTTGAATAAACCCCTGTGGTCATCAAAGCTTTAATAATAATAATAATAATAATAATAATAATAATAATAATATGTAAAGCATGTTGACTTTGAATTTAGTTTTTAAATCGAGATTGGGATCTTTTAATGATTAATCGTGCAGCTCTTCCAGACTGTCCAATTTTTTGTTTTGCCATATAAAAAATACTACAGTAATTTATATTAAATACCAGTGTTTTTGAGCCATACTATAGCCATACATACTATATTTCTTTGTAAGGAAGTCTTGTTGGTTTAATTTTGAGTAGAAAAAAAGCAGTCCTAATAAAAAAAATTAAAAAAAAAACATTTTAAGATCAATATTTTTAGCCCCCTTATGCAATATTTGTCTACAGAACAAACCATAATTATACAATGACTTGCCTAATTGCCCTAGCATACCTAATTAACCTAGTTTAGCCCTTAAATGTCCTTTAAGCTGAGTATCTTGAAAAATATCTAGTAAAATAATATGTGCTATTAATATTAAATTGGGGAAAATATATAGAAGGGGCTAATAATTCAGGAGGTTTAATTCTGACTTCAACTGTACACTATAAAACACTTGACTATAGTATGGTTTAGAAACACTAGAACATTTACTGCAGTATTTTATTCAGTGGGATTTTGTAATAAACCATTTATTTATATTTTTCTCCTTTTCTTCCACAGAAGAAAGTGGAGTGTCGCTGTTGCAACTAATTGGCGATCCTCCACCCAACGGCGTCTCCAAAGTCTTCGACCAAGCAAACAGTCCTGGATATGTGTTTGGACCAAGCTCAAATGTGGGTCAGTCTGCTGCAGCCCACCTGCCCAATCCCTTCTACCGCGATTTCTCCCTCATCTTCAATATAAAACCCACATCCTCCAAGCCTGGCGTGATCTTCTCCATCACTGACCCCACTCAGAACATCATGTATGTTGGCGTGAAGCTGTCGGCGGTGGAAAGAGGCAAACAGTCCATTATCTTCTACTACACCGAGCCTGATTCGCAGAGCTCCTATGAGGCGGCCAGATTCTCTGTTTCCTCCATGTTGAACATATGGACGCGCTTTTCCATCAGCGTTTTGAACGAGCAGGTTTCTCTCTACTTTAACTGCGACTCGGATCCTCAGGTTGTCAATTTCGAGCGCTCGCCTGATGATATGGACATGGATGCTGGCGCTGGAGTGTTTGTGGGACATGCCAGTGGAGCAGACCCGGATAAGTTTTTGGTATGTATTTGTCAGAGTAAAACTTTTGATGATTTCTCATTGAAAACGGGTTAAATGGCAGTGAGGAGATAAGGGAAAGGGGATTGTAACGTTACATCTCTGGGGTTGATTGACTACTGTGTGATTTTGTTGGTCAAATTGGGCTGTTTAAAATGAACAAATGTTCTGTTGTTGGAGAAAATCTGCCATCATTTCTTGCAGTGGAGTAGTTAATTAGTTTAAGAAACCACAGGGGAGCAATTAGCTCATGTTAGTTTTGTGTGGCAGTGTCCAGCAATAGACCTCACAGCTTGTTCTGAGATCGGTTTCAGACATTATGTTTTTCCCGAGTTCCAAATGCTGATAAATAGTTTTTTGTCTTGTTTTGTTTTGTGTTTCATGTTTTTTGTTTAATTTAATTTAGTTTAGTTTTGTTTTTGTTTCATGATGTTTTGTTTCGTGTTTTGTTTTGTTTAATTTTTAATTTTTTGCTTTGCTTTGCTTTGATTTGTTTTTTTGTCTTGTGTTTTGTTTCTTGTTTTTTTGTTTAGTTTTTTGTTTTGTTTTGTTTCTTGTTTTGTTTTGTGTTTTGCTGCATGTGTTTTATGTTTTATGTTTTTAGTTTAGTTTAGTTTTTAGTTTAGTTTTCTTTTCTTTTTTGTTTCATGTTTCCTTTTGTGTTTTGCTTTGTTTTTTGTTTTGTTTCGTGTTTTGTTTGTTTTGCCGTTTCATTGTTTTTTATTTTTTTTTTTGTTTTTCGTGTTTTATATATACATTTGTAAATGAAAACACACACATTTTTATTTTATTAATTTTCTTTATAAATGGGTGAATTCATTAAACAAGGTATTTTTTTCACATCATACAAAGCATGTACATTTTTTAAAAATATCAGTTATAATTACAAAATAAATTAATATTTTACGTATTTTTATTTTTAAAAAATGTGGTATCCTTTTTCTTTTTTCTTTTTTATGTTGCATTTATCTAATGTCTATTTTTAATATATTTAATATTTAATTTCTTTAAACATTTTTGTAGTGTAATGAATAAACTTCCATTAGTCAATAGCAATTTGGGGATTATACAAATTAATATAAATAAATAAATATAAAACATTACATGAAGATATATAAATACTGTACAATATACTATGTACATTTAAAGAAATGTATCAGTTAGTTTTATACACAGAAAGACCATTTCATCCTCAAAAAAATTTATATATTAAAATCTTTTTAATTAATTTTAAATGATTAATTTTGTTTCTTTAAAATGTGTCATTTATGTAAATGTTTATGTTTAATGTAATTACCTGCCTGGATGTTTTTAATAGTTTTAATGTTTATTTATTTTCGTTATATATTTTAATATATATTATATTTCAATAGCCATTTAGGGGATTATATATGACAATTTCAAATAAATATATAAATAAATAAATATGAAAACAATACATAAAATATAGAAATGCATCAAACCATGAATATTTTTAAAATATATCAGCTAGTTTGATACATGGAAAGACAATTTTCACCCCCCCCCCCCTACCCCCCCCCCCCCCCACAAATTTTTTTTTTTTTTACATTTTATTGTTTTGATTTTCTTCCACTTTAAAAGGTTTATTTTTAAAATTTTATTATTATTTTTTTTAATAAATTTTAAAATGTAATTTCTATTGGAATGTAACAACATGAATTAAACAATAGCAATGTAAGGGATTATATGAGATATTCAAATGAATGAATTTAAATAAATGAAAAAAATTTGATTAATTAATACATAAATAAATAAAAAAACTAATACATAAATTATATAAATAAAACTTTTCACCATCGTTTGACATAGTGAATTTGAAATATATTAAATAAAACATTAAGTTATATTGTTGAAGTCAGAATTATTAGCCCCCTTTGAATTTTTTTCTCTCAGAAAAAAAGAGCAAATACATTTTCACTGTATGTCTGATAATTATTTTTTCTTCTGGAAAAGTCTTATTTGTTTTATTTTGGCTAGAATATAAGCAGTTTTTAATTTTTTAAACACACTTTTAAGGACAAAATTATTAGCCCCTTTAGGCAATTTTTTTTCTCTACAGTCTACAGAACAAACCATTGTTATTCAATAACTTGCCTAATTGCCCTAACCTGCCTAGTTAACCTAATTAACCTAGTTAAGACTTTAAATGTCTCTTTAAGCTGTATAGAAGTGTTTCGAAAAATATCTAGTAAAATATTATTTACAGTCATCGTGGCAAAAACTATATATATATATATATATATATATATACATACATACATACATACATACATACATACATACAATAACAATTACTAAGAATTCCCAGTTTTGTCCAGCAGATTCTTCTCCAACTGCTTTTGCTGCCAGATTGGCGTAAGTGACCTGTGAAGCGATGTGATTGAACGCTTTTCTCAGTGTCCATCAGTTATGCTGGCTCTTTCTTGCATGTCCTTCAATAACCATAGTGAGGCGACCGAGGCAGCAGGAATGCCTCACATTTCCCACAGCTCATAATGATCACTCAAAAGCAGATGGATCGTGTTCACTTAGTTTGGCTCCGTGTTTCATGTGGCTGCTATTTCCTGTGGGAAGGAGATGGCCATCATAATTACAGACCTGATTAGCCAGGATATGATTGCTCTTCCATCCCTCGCTCTCATTGAGAACATGTGCTTATCTGCAGAAGTGTGGGCCAATCTGGGCTGTCAATCTGACCCTGCGCTGGGGCTTTCAGAGGGTCAAAGCGTGACACAAAAGGACAACTGAGACGTCATAAAACTTCCTTCACTGCTTTCTGCTCTTAAACCTTTGACCTTCGCACAGGGCGTTTACTAAGATGTGAGAAAGACAGTCCTGTCAGATCTGATCAGCAATGTTTTCAACACATTTCTAAACATAATAGTTTTAATAACTCATTTCTAATAACTGATTTCTTTAATCTATGCCATGATGACTTTATATAATATTTTACTAGATATTTTTCAAGGTAAAATTCAACTTAAAGTATCATGTAAAGACTTAACTATGTTCATTAGGTTAACTAGGCAAGTTAGGATAATTAGGCAAGTCATTGTTTAATGACTAGACTAATTAATATTACTTGCCTTAACCTAGTTTACAGAGTAACTACTTGCCTAATTAATCTAGTTAAGCATTTAAATTGCACTTTAAACTGAGTGTCTTACAAACTAACAAGTAAAGTATATACAAGCACACACACACACACACACACACACACACACACACACACACACACACACACACACACACACACACACACACACACACACACACACACACACACACACACACACTTTTCAAATCTTACCTAAGTGATAACTAAATAATTTTGTCTTTGGCTTTACTGGTTTGTTTGCATTAGTTTGTTGTATTTCACATACAGTATATTGTTTTATATCAATACAAAGGCGATACAAATCCTGTTTGTTAAACGGTTGAGGTAAATTTTTCCACATTTGAAGTTGTGAAAGTTGAAGTTGTGTGATCAGTTACAAAGAATGCCATTTAAAAATGTGAATATTGGCAAGATATTGGCAGTTTACTGTTATTTCGCTGATTTTATTTTACACAATGGGACTAATTGGACATCAGCTTAAATAAATAATTGACTCAAAAATGAATTGATGCAATTAGTTGCTCATCCTCATACTCCAAACATGATTATTCATTATTTTGTCATTTGTGGAACATGACAGGGTGTTCATGTCATTCTCAATGAATGTGAATGGTTACACATTGTTGACAAAAGAGTAGTATGAACATTCTGCTAAAATTTTCCTGTCATGTTTCCATAGACAATAGTCTGCAGACTTTCTGCTTTTATCCTACCCAAAATAAAACCTAAAAGACGTTCTCTTAAAATTAGGAAATACTGTGAAAAATTCTTTGCACTGGTAAACATAATTTGGGAAATATCTGAAAAAAAACATGTCATACCATGTCATTCTCAATGAAAGTGAATTGTTACACATTGTTATATTGTAATGTAATGAAATGTAATGTAATGAAAATTAATTTAAAAAGAGCAGCATGGACATTCTACTGATATTCTCCTACGTTCCGCAGAAGAAAGTCAGTCATTCAGGTTACAGCACTGAACAGCACGAGAGATTAATAATTGGCAGGATTTAATTTCTTTTGGAAGAACTATCTCTTTAATGAGGCAATTATGTTAGCTATTGAAGGTAGAGATGTGCTGCTTGGCAGATTAGATTGAATCTTATCACCATCTGCGTTGTAATTATGCCGCAAACCCTGAAAGGGAAATCCCACATGAAGACACAGAGCCCTGTGTTTGAAAGTAAGATATCCGTCACACGTTATTCTCTGACTGCCAGCATTTTTGCAGTGGAAGCAGTAGAATCGTCCATTAGCAGCTGTCCTGTAGCATGAACTGTATGTCACTTCACATTCCCTGTGCATCTTAATAAACTTCTCAACCTGTGCTTTTGTCTTGTAGGGTGTTATTGGTGATCTGAGGGTGTCGAGAGACCCTGGGGCGGCTGAACGGCACTGTGAAGAAGAGGAGGATGACTATGCAACAGAGGTGGGAGTAGGTCACACATGTGCAAGTCTCAAGTCATAACCCTTAAGACTCAAGCAAGTCAAGTCAGTTTTTGTCAGACTCAAGTCAAGTCACTGCTTATTTCAAGTCAAGTCAAGTCATAGCTTGGTCTAGCAAGTCTCTTTCAAGTCAATATATATATATTAATCCAAAGAATGGCTAAAGGCAGTGAGATGAGAAGTACTCAAATTGTGTTCTTAATATCAGTTGGCAAGCTCTTAAAATAGCTTCAACAAAAGGAGATCTTATAAGTGTGTATTCAGGTTTTGATGCCTACCCAGTTATTCATTCATTCATTCATTCATTTTCTTGTCGGCTTATTCCCTTTATTAATCCGGGGTTGCCACAGCGGAATGAACCACCAACTTAACCAGGAAGTTTTTACGCAGCGGATGCTCTTCCAGCCGCAACCCATCTCTGGGAAACATCCACACACACATTCACACACTCATACACTACGGACAATTTTAGCCTACACAATTCACCTGTTCCGCATGTCTTTGGACTGTGGGGAAAACCGGAGCACCCAGAGGAAACCCACGCGAAAGCAGGGAGAACATGCAAACTCCACACAGAAACGCCAATTAAGCCGAGGTTCGAACCAGCGACCCAGCGACCTTCTTGCTGTGAGGCGACAGCACTACCTACTGCGCCACTGCCTCGCACCTACCCAGTTATTGTGTAGTCTTTTATAAATGAGACCAGTGTGCAAAATAGATGGCCTGCTGCAAGTGTTCAGATTTAGACTATTTTCCCCAGGAGGCTTATCCCAAAATTTGCTGTGGCATCACTTTTCATTTATAGACTGTATATGCATTTGGAAGATGCATGGATTTAGTGCATACATTTAATTGGTTCTTGGTTTCCTGAAAAACGTCCTTCCAATGTCCTATCACCTCAGCTAAATTTACATTCAACACGATCCTTAAAGGAATAGTTTATCCCATGTTTTTTTTATTTTGTTTTTTTCAACCCTATATTATTTAATTCTTGATAAATTATATGTAGACAGAATGTCTGAGGTCTTCTTCAAATAACAAGTTTGTTTATTATTCTAACTTTCAAAAAACATTGCAAATTAGATTTGCGGCCTATTCTTTATTCTAATTCTTCTGAAACTTGCAAACTTCACTGTTTGTTTCTGAATGTAAGAACCAGCCTGAAGGATGTCAATCTTGGCACAAAGCATCAAAAGGTGCCATTTTTGACTTTCAAACAAGCCTAAAAGCCTGGAAACCTATTTAACATTATGCTAACAACTCCTTTTTAACTGGCTTGATCTGAAGAATGACACCATTGTTTTCAGCAGAGCTGCTTGTTGTTGAACTGAACTTGTTTCATAACTGATGAACTTTGCAACATTGACAGACTAAATTGAAACAACACTGAACAAAGAAGCTCTTACATGAAACTATTTCCATTTAAAACTGTAAACTTGTATATGCTTTTTGGTTGTTCATGTTGGGTGGCTGAAAGTGCAGTTTTTAAAAAATGATAGCTTTTAAAAAGCAGTGTTTGTCATAATATACAGTATATTAAACATTATAAATACATAAATACAGTCAGATATGGCTTCCTGTAAGCAAAGTTCAGTTCTGAAATATTTAACCCTTTGCATGTAAAAGGTAAATAACAAAAATATGCATTTTTTTCAGTATGTATAATAGCTGCTTTTATTAAATAAAAATAAAAACAATTATGAGGATGGCTAACTGTAACAATATTGATTATTCATCAATGTTAAACTGCTTTGAAACAATTTCTAAATAAAAACACTGTAAGACTTGACTGAATGAAAGTGGAAGACTGACTTGATGTAAACAATATGGGATTTAGAACGAAATTAGGGTGTGTTAACTGCTAAATAAACACCTGGAGTGTTTGTTAACCAATTGTTATCCGTCTGCATCTGAAAGTGCTTGGAATTCCCTTCCATTCATTTTCCAGAAAGGAATGTGTCGCCTCCAGCCAGGCTTTCCACAGGAGAAAGCTTTAATGGCCATCAGTATGACATATGACGTACTACATGCCCTCCAGCAGTCCAGATAACTGTGAAGGAATGACCCTTTCTTATTTAGGGTTCCCACAATTTCTGGTTGTTTTGCTGTCAGAGAATGCACACATTTACACATCTTAGCTCATTTTCTTTTTGACTTTAAGAACTTTTTTGACTGTAATTTATGTAAAGAGAGAAACAAAGAGAGAAAATGTTTACCTCTTATGTTTAATTCAAGAGTTTAAACTTAGATATTGCTTGATAATAATAGCAGGTTTGGCTACTATCTCGGGAGAGAACCCTAAGCTCGGATAATTAAGACCAAGTCTCCTGCCTGGTCAATGAGCATGAAAGGATGATCGAGATCAGGTTGTTCTCGAGAGCTCCCCCTGGTAAAGGAGGAAAAGGAGGAAGATGGGGTGGATGGGAGTTTTCTTTACAAAACAAAGATAATAGAGTAGTTTTAGACAGGCTTACATGTATATAACGCTTACCACATCATATTTGACACATGAATGACTCTAAATCATCCAAATTTAAGAAAATAGTTCAAATTTCTCCAAAAGTAAATAGGCTTTGGCTGAATTCGCATTTCTAACACTGACAACACTGAGTTCAGCAGCAAGCAATTTGTCTGTCAGCACGAGATGCGGAGCAACACGACAGAAACATTTAAATACCAGCCAGTTAGAAGTGCAGAAATGTGCACTATCAATGAAATGGTAATATTTATAATCCATATAATACAAATTAACAGGGCTTGACATTAACTTTTTTGATCACTAGCCACTGTGGCTAGTAGTTTTCCAACATTACTAGCCACTCGCCATTTTCACAAGACACAATTTTATTGTTGTGAAAATATATTTTATACATATAAATAATAAGTATGACTTTGACATGGTAAAATTACTTGATTTAGATTGTGTGTTATGTCCACATGCCTCCTCGTTCATTTCACTTTTTGTGTGTCGTGTATGAGCTCAATAATCTTGAGCAAATGGGTCATGGTTTCATAGTATTAGAATTAGTTTTTATTTCGAATAATTTTCAGAGCTCAAAATTAAGTATTTACCAAATGTGTCTCTGACCACACCAAACATAAACAATTAGTTATTTTTTAGCCACAAATTTTAAATGTGTCAAAACAAGCAAAATATTGCTGTATACTATACTTTTTATTTAAAAAAATATATGCACAGTAATCCGTCCTGGCTAAAGGTCTCAGATCATCGGTTAATTACACATAAATGGGGAGTTAATCACCCATTAAAGCAATGTTATTATAAAAAATTATGATTAAACCATTTTAACTCAAAAGAAAGCAGGTAAAAAAAAAAAACATACCGTTTGATAATGAAAGGATGATCACATACACACGGTTAACGTTATACCCATAAATAATCTGTTTAAAGAATGGTTGAAGCAAAAGCAACCAGTGATGCTTACAAAAAGACAAATTTGGAGCTCTTGAAAGCAGCAAGACTGTGGGTGCATGTTCATCAATTTTTTTCTAGTCTATGTGAAAGAGAACCGATCACATCAGTTGTTTCTAAACAGTTGCTTCACGCAAGGAAATGGGAGTGCGCACGCGTTTTAAACAGTTGCATGCATCACTTTAGCTGTTAGCATGAGTGATCATCCTCTCATTCGGTTTTCATCTGTTTTCTATTGCTCACGTGAACGCAATTATTTTTGCCAGTCGTACTGCTTTTCATTTCTATCGCCTTTGTGTGCATATTGGACCATCCTTATTGTTAAACCCTGCTTTTAAGAATTAATATCCAGGAAAGTTATTTTTAATTATTAATACATATTGGTACAAAGTCTACTTACTTATGTTGTTGGTTTGGTCATAGTTTTGACTTACAGCATAGTTTTGACAAACTGTTTGCTAGCTACTTTTCTAACTGTTTGCTTTCTATTTTATTTTCAAAATCTGAGGTAACATTAAACTTTGTGCTGCTGCTTTCAGTAGTTTTGCTGTAAATGTCATGTAAAATGATATTTAAACTCAAAATCACTGTCATATTTTTGCTATTGCTTAGCGTGTGACGTCTCAAATTGAAACCGTTTTTAAAAATAGAAATTTTGTGCATCACAAAACTCTCGACAAAACTCTCCTTTTAACATGGAAAAGATACCTTTGTGTTTTGTGCAGTACGTACACATTTTGAAGTTTGTCACAATTCTAAGCGCACATTTACACTGAATGCGTCTTTGCGTCTAAAAACCTGAGAGGCAACGGTTTAAAAAAAAAGCACAGCATAAAGCATCTTTTAACTTGACACCATGTCTAAAAAACATGGTGCTCACATGGAAGGCACTTAAAAAACGTGTGACATAAGCGTAATGGTCAAACACATGTCAAGCGCATGTTTACATTGAAAAAAAAAAATAGAAAAAGTAGCAAGTTGGAAAGGAAAAATGCATTTTGTGTGAACAACCCCTTTTTAGAGGTGCAATGCCTTGTGACAACAGGTATCGCACACCGGATGAGCATGTTCTATACTCTAACATAATGTTATTTAATATAAACAATGCAGATGGTGCGAAAGAATTACGAGCAATGTCATGGCTGCCCCAATTTTTTTTTACGAAAGCTGTGGCTCTGCTAAATTTTGGGACATTGAGGTAAATCCATTGCTCAAGAAGCACTAATTTCCTGAGGGACTACGGAACACAATAGCTTGCCTTTATTATTATTATTATTATTATTATTATTATTATTATTATTATTATTATTCATTATACAGTAGATCAAGGAAGTTCAGCTTGTTTGTAAATGAAAGTCATGAAGTTGTCAGGTAGTTTGAAAGTTTAAGTGGGAGTCCTGCTTACTGTTCAGAGAATTTATATATTTTTTCAATTTTTCCAGGCATCAGGTGATTACGGAGCAAGTGGAGATGGAGAGCAGCCATCACCAGTTCAGGTATCACCATAATTTTGCTTGTTTATGTTTCCTCTGTATGCAACACAAATCTGAGCTTGCATTTGTAAACTTGCTGGGATCCATTTAATTAAAAACGTTTAATGAAAATCCTAAAGTTCCAGGCCATTTCCAGAGCAGCATCTGTGAATTGGGAGTCTGTCACACTGTACACTTGTTCGTCTTGTAAGGGAAAGTCCCGGATGAGTGCTATTATCTCCAGACCGATCCCAGATGTTAAAGCCCATCTTCCCATGCCTTGTGTTACTAATCCAGAAATAGGCCATGTGGAAATTGAAATGAACCCTTGCTACTGATGTGTGAGGCCCTTGTCTGAGCATGCCAGAGCTAATTACAATGGAAAGAAACCAGGTGGCTGTAAGGTGTGGACTGCTCTGACTGATTTATTCAGCAGTTCTGAAGCAATTTTGAGGATTTTTAGACCACTTTAAAAAATAATTCATTTTTAAATTATTTAAATATATGTTACTTTTGACAGTAGCCTTTTCTTTCCTTGCACTTGCAAGTTTTAATTGCTAAAGTATTAATTTAATTAATTTAATATCTTAAACACTAAAACTACCATAATTCCAGGGTGCAAATTGAAGGGGGGTTTGGGGGGGTCTGACCAACTTATTAATGCTTGATTTCTTTTGAAGGACATTAAAACAAGATGTATTGGGGGTCTGATCTTTATCTTAAATAGTATTAATAATTAAAACAATAGATAACTTCATTATACATTTGACCACCCCATAATGGTTCATACATTTTTGAAACCAGCAAATCTAGAGCACCAGCAGATTGTAACGCAGGGAAGTGACACAGACAACTGAGGTTTTATCCAAATGCAGGTTTAATCGAAGTCAGGTTAGCAATGGTCAACACAGGTGCAAACAGATGTATAAAGGCAAATCCAAAATTGTAGTCAAACACAGGCAAGAGGTCAAAAGGCAGGCGGCAGGCAGGGAGAACTAGATAAACAAGGCTAGGTCAAAACACGGGAAAACAAGACAAGGAAAACATGTTATAATGTCTTCTACGGATAAACAAGACTCAACCAAGTGAATGAGTGAGTGTGTAGCTTAAATAATGTGTGCAATCAGTCTCTGACAATCCTCAGGTGGTGTGAGTGTAATCAGTCTAGATGAGGAAGCATGTGTGAGTGTGAGCGGAGTGCATGTATGAAAATGTAGTCCAGAAATGGCGGATTTGTAGTCCATGGTTATAGTTAGTGAAATCCAGCGATCTTATGAAAGACGATCGCTGGTAACGGTGACACAGATAGTGTAAGTGTTTCTTTAAAAAAGGCATTTGTAGGTATCTGTAAAACTAGATGCATTGTGTTTGTATTTTATTATTCACTGGCTCACACATGGAAGTTAAACAGTAAAATAAAAAACTATGTGCAGTTTTTCATGGTTATCCATTAATAGGTGCAGGAAAGCAAACTAGTCACCGTTTACTTAATATCACTAATGGGATTGAGAACCACTCAATATCCCTCAAATAAATTAGATGTAATTGAATTAAATATATACATTGGGTTCACTGAGGCATATTACTGTACATAATCTAAAAACATGACCCCCCCCCCCCCCCCTCCATCGTCAATGTATAATTCGCACCCTGCAGAATTCTATAACTTGATTGCCCCTAATTCTGACTGCTCCAAATGCTCCAGATCTCTTTTTTATCAAGCCATATTTAGATTTAAAGCTTCATTTGAATGTATCCTTATTCATTCATCCATTCATTTTCTTATCGGCTTAGTCCCTTTATTAATCTGGGGTCGCCACAGTGGAATGAACCGCCAACTTATCCAGCATGTGTTTTACACAGCCGATGCCCTTCCAGCTGCAACCCATCACAGGGAAACATCCATACACACTCATCCACACACATACACGCTGGCCAACTTAGTTTATTTAATTCACCTATACCGCATGTTTTTGGACTGTGGGGGAAACCGGAGCACCTGGAGGAAACCCACGCAAACACAGGGACCCCAACTGACCCGGCCGAGACACGAACCAGAGACCTTCTTGCTGTGAGGCAACAGTGCTAACCACTGAGCCACTGTGTCACTTAATGTATCGTTTTTTTTTTTGTCATATTTAATTTTGTATTTCTTTGTAAAATAAAAGCAAATCTTAAGATATACAGTAATAACTGATTAAAAATATCACCAATATGCATTTCAATGCATAGTAAAAAAACAAAAAAAAAACTTTTAGAATTGTTTCTGCTGAACGAATACAGTATGCTGATTATAATATGGAGTCAATTTGGCCATTCAAGGTACAAATACTCAGAAATCCTGTGTTTTGTAGTTTTAATAAAACAATAATGTTAAAATTAATGTACCCAAAATGAAAATTACCTCATCATTTGTCCTCCCTCATGCACTCAAAAAAAGTATTTTCACTGCTTGTTAACCATGTGGAAGGCCCCTTCAGGCCCATATCTATCAGCTGATAACCACTAATTGCACCCATTCAATTAAGTGATAACATTTGAAGCGAGTGCAGATCTCCTTACCTAGCAACCATAAGATCTACTGTTAAAAGAGGAAATACATGTTGTGATTTAAAGTGATCTGAAAGCAAAGCAAAGTTTACAGCAGCTGGAAATACATTTCCTTGATCCAAAAATGTATGCATAAAAAGTAAACTCTCTATAAAATCACTTTTTTGTAAGGATTGTCATACTCTTTATGTTTTTTACACATTTGTTTAGATATCCAAGTAAAATAAAACCTAATTCATACTTTCAATCCAGAGTTTTCTTTTAAAAACATCCTGCCGTTATCAGCACGCAATAAATCTTAGGACGTTTGAGGCCGCAGAGGATCCACATGTTGTGTCCTTTACATAGGAAACGAAGGATGCATTTTGATGCTGCATTTGAAGGAGTCTTCACATTTGAAATTAGACAGACTTAATGGTACCAGCTACCAGCATTTTTCAAAATATCTTCTTTCGTTTTCAACAGAAGAAAGAATTCCAAATAGCTTTTAAACAAGTGGACTAAACAATCCAAAAAAAATTACGTTTACTGTTTGTTCTATCTACTTATTTAAAATGAGCTGAAACAACACAATTGTTGAGCTTTTTTGCAACCACTCAATTCTTTTATGTTCAATCTGCTTAAATTTGAAAAAAAAAAAAACTTAACTTAATTCCTTCATGATGTCTCAACACAAATCTATTGTGTGGAACCCAGCATTTTTTTTTTTTACAGTCAATAATGTTTTATTAGTGAACTATCCCTTTAAGAATAGTCAAGGTACTACAGCTAGCTAAATTTCTAAACGTCTGCCTTGGTAGTTCTAGTGTTAAACATCCACTGCCAAACATGCAGGTATTAATTTAATTCTAACCTTGTAATTTTGAATTACATGGCTTTTGTTTGCTTTTACAGTACACAGCACGTTTTAACACGCTGTGACAGAAAGAGAGACGGCATTTTCCAAAGTGCTGTAAAGTAAACTTCCCTTTGTCTTAGCGTGGAATCCATTCTGATGGATGCCACATTCCCGCAGGCACATTTTCTACGCTTGCTTCTCCGTCAGTCCCGCTCTGCTTGGAAGCTGGAAAGGGCATCTGAGGAAAAGGCACCTGGTGGGATTTGTTTTCTGTGTTGCATGACTATCTCATGTGTAGGGCTCTTTGTGGAATCCAGTTTGATGAGATTATTATATCTAGAGGGAGAGAAGTGGTCTTGTGACAGTGTGGTAAACACCACATTTTACTTCATTAGTTTTTTTCCTGTGCAAAAGGAATTTAAATGTAAAAATGTCTCTAGTGCTTAAGGTGTACTAGTTTCTGTTTCTATTCTAAGGAATAAAAAGTGTCTAAATATCCTAGGTGACAAGGCGGAATTTCAGTTCAATTTATGCATTTGGTAGGTTCTTTCATTTAAACCAGCATCTCAGAGAAACATAATTTGAATTATTTTAATGAAACATTTGAAATACATATTATGCCATGTTTACATGTAAGTGTAGAATAAGTATTTGAAATAAATTTTATTATATGTTATATACAAATATTACCAAGTTCAAAAAGAACTTAATTACCAATAAATAGGGCCAGGCAGAATCTGCAGACATTTTTTGCTATTTCTGTAGCGATCATAACTGAAAACTTCATATATAAAGTAAAAAAATATATATTTTTAACTTTTATTTGATGTTTCAAAATCTAATTTAATGGGATCCATTTAAAGCAAGTCTTTAATATAATATATCAACTTAAAGACAGAAAATATTACTTTGCAAACTATATTGTAAATAAATCATATAAATATATTTTCATATTAGTCGATAATATTACCACCTACATTTACACACATTTACACACGTAAATAATTTGACTCAATGGTGGCTTAAAAATCTGCAGAAATTTGTGGAATTCTGTGTGTGAAGATTCTGTGTGGGCCTACTGATGACTAACTATATAATCAAAATTGTGAAGTTTTTTTCCCTCTCCGCTGTCGCCTCTAGCTTGCATGGTTTGGGATCGGTAGAGCTACGCATAGATGAATTTGCTCTTCAGTGTTTGGACTCTCAGTAGTGATTTTTAAACCACACTGACTGAGCTAAACTGAACTGAACTTCAACACTAAAAAAAAACTACACTGTTCCAATTTACTATGACCTGATCTTTTAAAAACTCCCTGCTCTTTGTGTAACACATATCTGGTAAAAGCCTCTAAATTCCAAATAATTCCAAATGGCTCTCCTGGAAGAACATGATGCACAAAACATCACGACTGCAAAGAACGGCCTCTTTTTGTAATGCAAAAGGAAATATCCGTTCGTGCTTTTGATCTCGTCCATATCCTGGAATCTCCACCATAACTCAATGTAATGTGTTGAAGGTCAGAGACTCCTTCATCTCCGCAGCAGTGACTGTGATGGCAGATGTTTAGCTGCATTTTCCAGCCCTGACCTCTATCTTTAGAGCCCGGCACCCATGGCCTGGATTCCCCAAGACGATTGCTCTCTCTCCGTCTGAAAATACATGCTGTTAGCATTCTCTCAAAAAAACGGGCGTCCTCTTGCCAAAGTCTCGTTTATTCAATCCCGGTGTGAAATCTGAGGATCAGGGTGTTCTAGAAGCCGATGTCTGGTATTTCAGCAGCATGTGCTTTATAAAGTGCAAGGTCAGGCGCTCTTTGTGGCAGCTTTGCTTTAAGAAGTGTTGCTAACTGGAAGCTATACCGTACAGTATGTCTGAATGGCGGATGACTGATGTGGGATTTTACACTGCAAAAATGCTTTCTTACCTAGAGTTATTGTCTTGTGTATAGTTCAAATATGTACCAATTCCTAAAACAAGAAGCATTTTCTAGACAAGCAAAGAATATTGTCTTGTTTTCAGAAATAATGTCATAATCAGAGAGTTTTTCCTAAAAACAAACTGAATAATAATGGGGAAAGAAAAATAATTGGTCCCTCTTTATATTAAGTGGCCTTAACTAATATGTACTTAAACAGGAATTAATAGTTTGTTAAAATGTACTTATTGTGTAAATACATGTATTTACTATGTACTTTGCTTGATTAAATACATTTATGTAATTACATCTGTGATTAACTTTTGTAATTACATTTGTAAATACACTGTTGACCACCTTAACCCACCCTTAAACCTACCCATGCCACCAAACCTGTCCATAACCCAACCTCTATCCCAACTCAAAAGCACAACGTGTTCTCAAATACATTATAAACACAGTAAGTGCATTGTATTTATTTTTTGATGTAAGTACATAGTAGTTAAGGACACTTTATATAAAGTGGGACCAAATAATTTTATATCAAAGCGATTAACAAGATTGTTTTTCCTACCCCACTGGCAAAAATGCTTTTTGATTTAAGAATTAGTAGATAATTTGACTAAAAACAAGACAAAAACTATGAGTAGGTAAAGCATTTTTTTTGCTTGGTTCTTGTATTAATCTTATGTCATCTAGTCATAGAGGACACCAATTGTGGTCACATTTTATTTTGATGGTCTGTTTGTTGAATTTAAGTTGCATTGCATTCCCCCTTCTGACCTTACCAAATGTTTACATGAGATTAATATATGGATGACTAATAATTTCTTAAAGTAAAATGCCAGTAAACCTGAAGCCCTTCTGGTTGGCTGTAAATCTGTTTTATCCGAAGCTCAATCTTTTATCCTGTTTGTTGATGACTCCCCAGTCAATATCTCAACCCATGTGAAAAGTCTTGGGGTTATACTGGATGGCACGCTCTAGTTTAGTTCTCAAATTAGTAATATCTCACGTTCTGCCTTTTTTCATTTGTGTAACATTGCAAGACTTCACACTTGACTATCTCAACAAAGTACTGAAGTGCTTGTTCATGCTTTGGTTATATCACGGATTGATTACTGTAACTCGCTTCTATCTGGCATCCCTGATAAACAACTTCATAGACCACAGTTAATTCAGAATTCAGCGGCTAGGATAGTTACCTGCTCGCATACTTTTGATCACATAACTCCAATTCTCTTTCACCTGCACTGGCTCCCTGTTCACTATCGTATACCATACGAAATCTTCCTCTTAACATACACAGCTCTTCATAACCTGGCCCGCCACTATCTCCCTGATCTTCTTCATATGTACATTCCTTCGCTTTCACTGAGATCATCTTCTGCTGAACTGTTATACATCCACAATTTTAAGATGAACTCATTTGGTAACAGGGCTTTTACTTGTACGGAACTAAAGTTATGGAATTCCTTGCCTTTGTACAATCGCCAGGTGGACTCTATTTCCAATTTTAAATCTCAGATAAAAACGTTTTTGTTTAGGATAGCTTTTAATGATTTGCTGGTTTAATATTATGCAGATTTTTATTTTTACTGCTTGTATTTTTATGATGTGCTTGTGATTTGCTGTAAGGTGTCCTTGAGTGCTTTGAAAGGCGCCTATAAAAATAAAAGATATTATTATTATTATTACATGCCAACTCTATATATATATATATAAATATATATATATATATATATTTGTTTTGTTTTTTTTTATAGAATATTAAATGCAGATTATTTAATGTGGATACATCTATATTTATTTAAGTGTTGTACTTTGTAATTGTCTTGAAGTTGAACCTGCTATGGTCAAACCTGGGCTATTTTTGGCTTTCTTAATTTAAATGTTGGGGTCAATCCAACTACATTCTCATCATACATTAAATGCTTTTGGACTTTAAAAAAAAAAAAAAAAAATCTTTTTCCAGTTGAGAAAGTTAAGGATTGGATCCATTTAAATTTGACCACATACAGTAAATGCATTTCTGTTATAATTCCTTTTGTCAAATCCTGTTATACACACAAAAATGACTCAGGTCACAAAAACTAATGCGTCAGATACACCACATTTTGTTTCATTGTTATTATTTTGTACAGAAACTGCATGAGGTATAGATCTTAATCAACGTACAAATGATTTGATATGTTGGTTACAGTAGGATTTATAGTGTACTTCACTCATGTTCCAGTCAAAACATTACAAGCGTACAAAGCGGGCTTCACAATTACTATGATTATAGGCTAAACGTAACATCTATTTTTGTTATACAGATACATGCAAGACATCATTTATTTCCGTATTTTGTGATTTACAAGTGTTTTCTGTTTATTTATGGTTGTGAATTGCATTATGGGACCTTGATCTCTGCTCTTTCGACTTTTGATGTTGAAAATTCAATTCTAAATCCAACTCTCAATGACATTTTTGTAGTTTGAAATAATATAATATATAAGAAATAATATACAGAATAATAAGTCTGTAAAATAAAATTACTGGCAGTTTTGTACAAGGTATTTGTAGCATAATATACAACACCAACCCAGACAATATATCACTTTAAACTGTAAAAAATGTTAATAAAAGTAATTTTTTGAGCTTTTCAAAGGCAAAAGTTGAGATTAAGGTCCAATAATGCAGTTCAAAAGCAGAAATAACAGTAACGGAAAATTAAAACATGAATCACAAAATACTGAAATGAAACGCTAATTTATGGATTTTTTTTTACTGTTTTTACTTTAATTTGTGTATAACCTGCTGTCCAAAAAACAAAATGTGTTACCTTTGTAAATTAACAAAGAACTGTTTTTTAATTATTATTCAATCTACCATATACTGACAGTCTGATGTGATTAATTATGATATATTAATAATGTGTATGTATTTTCAGCCAACACCTCCATCATCTCGGCCAATCCAGCGGCCACCGGTGATTAGCAGGGATCCTATACAGCGGCCACCGGTGATTAGCAGGGAGCCTATACAGCAGACAGGTGAGCTTTTCTGTTCTCTGTCAGGTCTGAACTGGAAAATATCAGCCTGTCTGACAGCGCAGCTCATCAGCCGGATTTATTGCTCTGTTGAACACTTAAGTGGCTGTTTTTCTGCTTGTAAACTTGAAGTAATGCATTTTTCTGCTTCTGCTTTTACATTTTTTACAACGTTCTTTATACGCTGAAATTGTTCATGAAAGAAAACATTTGGGGGGCAACCATTCATTGATCTGCTGAAGGGGGTAATAACTAAAAATGAAACTTCTGTCATCTTTTACTCACCATTCATGTGTTTTTCTTCTATTGAACACAAAACAAGATGGAAACCTGCAAACATTTACTTCCACAGTATTTGCTTTTCCTACTATGGTAGTAGATGGTTACAGGTTTTCAGCTTTCTTAGAATAGTCTTCTTTGGTGTTCAGCAGAAGAAAAAAAACTCATAAAGATTCAAGATGGATGGGATTAAATAGTAAGTAAATGTTCATGTTTCTATTTCTTTAACCAGATATATTAGCATTACTTGCTGACCACATTCTCCAACTTGTTCAGCTGCTGTTAAACAGATATTTCAGCTTATATTTTCAGACAAGATTAATATAAATGTAGTGTGTTGATTTAGTAATGCTAATTTTATTTATAATTTGAAAGTTCAGATTAAAACATTTCATTCAGGTGTGATAGAATAGACAGACTTTACAGATGTGAGTGGTTTGAATGGCTATTGTGGTATTTGGCTCCCTCTACTGGTGGAAATCAACACACAAAGGCTTTTCACAATCACTTGTGAACGTTTTTAAGTTGGTTATTCAGGCTCTGTAATGATGGATTTTGGCTAGTATTTGTTTTATGTTCATTATTGTTATGTGTAAGTGTGACATTGTATGCTCACCGTATCTTACAATTGTGTTATTGTTATTATGTTGTTATTGCTATGTTTATAGTTATTTATAATTATGAAAAGTTTTTCATTTTTTTTATTTATTTTGAAATATGTGAACAAAAAATATGACGTAGATGATCAGCATATAGCAGTGTGCATAAAAATACTTGTAATAGCCAAAATACAGGAACACAGGTTGTTAAATAAGATTATTATTAATGATAATACTAATGCCAACAACAACAATAATATTAAAAATAAGAAAGAAAAAACTAAAAAATAAAGACAGAGACATACTAAAACTAATTATACATACACATAAAACAATTTTCAAAAAAGGCAATAAACCATCCATGTTTTGAAGGTTAAGTATATGTATTATTAGGCCAGCTCGAAATAAATAATTAAAAGAATAGTAATAGACAGTAAGATTAAGATATTTGAAAGAGGTTTATGACAATGCAATAAAGTTAGTAGAAGCCCAAACAGGGAACTTTAAGCAATTACAATGAAAAAAAGAAAGAAAAAAGAAATTATACGTATTAAAATAATAATAATAAATAATAATAGGAGGGGTGGGCTGGACTAAAGAGTTTTTATTTTGATGTCTCCTTGGTTAAAATGTATAATTTTGAAATAAAGATGTTATTTTGAGATATACAGTTACAATTTTGGATTAGATTTGAGTTTGATTAAATCAAAATATAAAACCATTCTTCATAATTTTACAAGTTTGTTTAAGATATTAAGTTAAAATTAAGAGATTAAATAAGTACATAATCATAAATAAATAAGTAAATGATCACAATTGATATTACAGTATCACAAATTGTAAAAGATATATTATTCTATATTTAAAAAATAGACAGACAGACAGATAGATACACACATAGATACATAGATAGATTCAGATATTCTGATGTTGTTTTCACTAATTTGGTGGGTCATAATGAATGGTTCTGTAGGTCTATATTCCTTTCTGCTATTTTAAAACTTGTTCTCAAGTGTGATCTTTATTCAAAACAAGCTGAATTGGTCAATCTGAATGAATATTAGGATCAGTTGATTCCTCTCGGCAAACTTCTGGCTCCTACGGAGATTCTCGAAAAGCATCTGGTTCATATGTGGATTCCCGGCAAACGTTAGTCTCTTATGGTGATTCCCGGCAAACCTCTGGCTCACACGGAGGCTCTCAGCAGTCAGCGGGCTCGTATGGTGGCTCACAGCAAACTTCAGGCTCATATGGAGGTTCTCTTGACTTAGTCGATGTTATTGATGACTCAAACTCTCTAAGAACGTCAAGCTCGGCTGATGATGGCATTCGGTATTCAGGTGGGTCACTGGTGAGGAGCTGAAAATCTCCCTATTGGACGTGGAATTTTGGATAGAAATTCTCGGCAGAATTTCTACCCAACGCTTTGCATGAAATGCTGGCAGAATGCTGCGGATGTGTAGTGATGTCAGAGATGGTGTGCAGCAGACTGGGAGCAAACATTAGAGCCGCTGCATATGTATGCTGTTTATCGCACATATATATGTTTGTTATTTATTGCTTGTATTTTTGTCGTTTTATTCAAACAGACTTCATATAGAAGCTTTTGCTGGTAGGCATATTCTTTCATGAATATGCAGAGTTTGGCCTGTCTTCTTTGAATATTGTCATGTTATTTAATTATTTAAGCAGAGAATTAGAACGTTATTTTAGTGTGAGGAGCAGCTCAATAAGTTAGAATCAGAATATCATTTAAATGTTGATTAATTTCAGTAGTTTAATTCAAAAACTGATTAACATACATTATCATTTATATACCAAAAGTCTTGTCATCTATTTAAGTTTTAGGAACAGCAAATACTAATTTGACTTCTAATTGATCATTTGGTATCAGAAGTGGCTTATATGAAAGGCAAAGGCCTCTAGATTACGCTTATTTCACCAAAATAAAATATAATCATGCCTTGATTTTTAATTATTTAATTAAGACAGTAAGGTCTGACTTTGCTAAGAAAAAACTCTTGTCACTTAAGAAAAATGATGTACAGTAAATAATATAAAGGCATGGTGCAGTGGATAAAGAATTAATATTGTGTTTGACTCCAATGAGCTTAGAGGACTGCATCCATGAATTTATCTTCAATGCCTCCTCTTTCATCTTACCCTAGACAAGCTCAATAATGTTCATTTCTAGTGACTGGGCTGGCCAATCCTGGAGCACCTTGAGATTCTTTGCTTTCAGGAACTTCGATGTGGAGGCTAAAGTATGAGAAGGAGCGCTATTCTGCTGAAGAATTTGCCCTCTCCTGTGGTTTGTAATGTAATGGACAGCACAAATGTCTTGATACCTCAGGCTATTGATGTTGCCATCCACTCTGCAAGTCTCTCATATGCCCCCATACTGAATGTAATCCCAAATCATGATTTTTCCTTAACCGAAATTGACTGATTTCTGTTAAAATCTTTGGTTCATGCGGATTCCAATAGGTCTTCTGCAGTATTTATGATAACTGAGATGCAGCTCAACAGACCGTCTACCTTCTGTCACTTTTCCAAATGATAAACTAGAAGTCAAGTGATTATTGGTTTCTCTTAAAACTGGGATCGATCTCAAGGGTTTTGTCAGGTAGTGTAGATTCATTAATCAGACTGATTGATTTCATTTTGATGTATTTATTTACTTTCATTTTGAAGATTACGGCTTAAAGCTAATGACAAGACAAAATTCAGGATCTCAGAAAAAATATAACATTTTAAATAAATCATGCTGAGTGCTGTACATGTTCATACTTTTTACTTGTCCCACATTTTTGTGTTAAAAATCCTTATTTTTTACTTAGTCTTAAATAATATTACAAAATTTGAGATACAAAATTCAGAAAAAAAAAATTTGTGTGCCATAATCATCAACATTAAAATAAATAAATAAATGAAATATATCATTATTTGTGTAATGAATTGATATACAGTAATAGAATTACTGAAATATATCCTTTGATGATATTCTAATTTATTGAGATGCGCCTATGTAGTATTGTAAGAATGTGAATATAATTTGTTTTGCTTTTTAATAATTGACTCAAAACTGTTGCAATTTTGTTACAAAAAATCATAATGTTCTATAAATATGCTTTTTTTCTTTATGAAAAATATCATTTGTTTTAGTTTGGTGTAAAATATGAGCCAGGTGTTTTATAAATCCTGTTTGATTTTTAAATGATCTGCCAATTTTAAATGTCCACGCCTTATTTCTCTTTCCCAGTTGCAAGAGGAGAGAAGGGTGACAGAGGGGAGAAGGGTGCTAAAGGTGACAGGGGTCTTGCTGGGCCAAAGGGTGATGTGGGGTCTGGATCAGTGTCTGGTGGAGGATCAAAAGGAGACAAGGTGTGTTGAGCACTGCAAATCTTACCAACCATTCTGAACATCTACAGTATAAACTAATAAGACATGATAGTCTGTCCATTATAGTACATTGACTTTAAAAGGGATAGTCCACCCAAAAAAAAAGTATAATCTATCTAATCTGTCTGTCTGTCTGTCTGTCTGTCTCTCTGTCTGTCTGTCTGTCAGTCAGCTTTTATAAAAAACACTAATGCAGGCATTGCTAATAAGAAAAAAATACATATTTCAGTGAAATTGTTGTTTAGTGACAATTGTAGAAACAGGGCTCTTCTTGAAGTCAGTTTATCACATTGAAGTTTTACAGTACGTCCTTCAAAATCCTCAGTAATGTGTGAAGTCAGTGATGGGGAGTTGAATGTTCAGCCATCTGTTATATTGGTGCGAGCAGCAGACAGGTCAATCATTTTTGTCTGTGTGTTTTCACAGGGCGTCCCAGGAGAGAAAGGAATGAAGGTTTGTTGTGATTCTTCTATACCTAGACATAACTGTGACAGTGCAACATATAATGCACCTGTTAGGAGTGGATTAAAGCATTGTTTGTGGCAGAAGTTACATTTGTCATTTATTTTGTCACTTGTCATCCTTTTTTGGCAAAATACAAAATTGCATAATGGGCAATTATACCTCATTACAATTTTACCTACAGTTATACCTTAACATATATACTGTGTGTGTTTACTTGTTTATGTGTTTTACAAGGAGCAGACATTTCCTAAAGACATGGTCTTGACCTTGTTATACTCTATTAAGGTTGTTTATGGGGACATGCTTTGTGTATTTGTAATTCAAAACACTTGAAAAGTCATACTCAATCATACCATTGATATTCAAAATTTGCCACAGACGGGTTTACTGGTTTTCATAGTATAATACTTTATGCCTGTAGAGAGTCCTCGGTTCCATTCAATATCGTGGTACACTGACGATTACTTACAGTAGCAACACAATAATTATTATATTAAAACATTTAGCACATTTATTAACATAATAGTTTTATTAACTCATTTTTAACAATGAATTAATTTTATCTTTGTCATGATGACAGTAAATAATATTTTACTAGATATTTTTCAAGACACTTCTATACAGCTTAAAGTGACATTTAAAGGCTTAACTAGGTTAATTAGGTTAACTAGGCAGGTTAGGGTAATTAGGCAAGTTATTGTATAACGATAGTTTGTTCTGTAGACAATCCAGGAAAAAATTAGCTTAAAAGGGCTAATAGTTTTGTCAAAATAGTGTTTAAAAAAATTAAAAACTGCTTTTATTCTAGCCGAAATAAAACAAATCAGACTTTCTCCAGAAGAATAAATATTATCAGACATACTGAAATTTCCCTTGCTCTGTTAAACATCATTTGGGAAATATTTAAATTTGTTCTTTTACAGAAGCAGTACTGTACCTTTAATTTTACCTGCTCAAAGAAAACACTTTTTTTAATCCATCAAATCTGTCTAGCTTTTAGAGTGTTGTTGAGCAAGTACTTAAACACCTTTGATTGATCACGCGCTCAGCAGAAAAGGTTGCGATTGGCTCTAGCGGTCAGCGCGACTCTGGCGCTGTTCAGCAAACAGTGACAAATACACTGATGCTAAACGGCCGCACTGATCAGCTACAGTGTGGAGAAAACTTTCTCTGCAAGCTCGTACTTACCACAAGGAACAATATTATTGTAAGAGCTAAGATAGAAGATAAAATGTTACCTCACTAACACACTAGCAGGTCAAAAGCAGCCACATAGAGTAAGTGAGAGAGAGAGTTAGAGTTCACAGCTTTCATTATCTCCTTGCTGTGTTCAAATGTATTTCCCTGTCAGTGAAAGACTGTCCAGCAAACTCACAAGCAGTAAATTGTGCACAGTTATCTGCTTTTTTAATAGTTATAGCATTTTAATTACTTGCGGTCTCCTCCCTCACCATAGAATGGTCATAGAATGGAACGCCATATAACACATAGAATGGAACGCCATATAACACATATCTGATAAATGACATCAGCACATAATAACCGATGATTATTACTAAACCGATAACAAATTGTTCGCATCTACATCAAGGTGCATCAGAGAAACTTTTAACTTTGACACCCCTAATATACACACACACACACACACACACACACGCACACACACACACACACACACACACACACACACACACACACACATATATATATATATATATATATATATATATATATATGTATGTATCTCTACATATATAAATATACCTGTATATATATTAGATACTATGTAATAATAGTATCTATAATAATACTACATTAATCAGCTAGATACTATGTAAGTGACTACACCTGCAAAACAATCAGTTCCATGTATTATATTTACACGTATACATGCATGATCCACATACTGATATATTAAAAATAGAATTCATCAGCTAGAATTTTTTAAAGGCATACAATAAATATTACATAATGTTTGTGTGGATGAACTGCAGTGTAGATTTGTAGTTCTGTTCCTATAAAACTATAATAAATATTAAAATTTGATTTTTATTGTATTTGTTCAAATCTGTGTTACCTTTCGGTTTCAGGGCACTTCTGGTTTTGGTTATCCTGGATCTAAGGGTGACCGTGGCCCCCCTGGACCTCCAGGACCTCCGGGTCCCCAAGGGCCCAGTGCAGAGGTAGAGGTGCGGGGCGATGGGTCAGTTGTGCAGAAAGTCACAGGACCAAGAGGACCACCTGGACCCCAAGGACCCCCTGGTCCCCCTGGACCTGAAGGGGAGCCGGTGAGTAGACCGAGCAAAAAGGAATGACACAGTTGCTGGCTTCTTTGTTTTCTATTATCCAGTGTATTTACATTTAAAAGGGACAGCCTTATACCATTTTCAAGCCTTATGTGTCATAAGTGGTCTTGCATTTGCCTTGATGTGTTTGGGTGGTAATAGATCCCTATGGTGTTTCCCATCACAAGCAGAGAATGATGTTAATACAGGTTTAAGATATGCATCACTGCAAACACAAAGGCACATTGTGTTTCTGTCCTTGAGACTATGCATAATGCATCGGGCATTGGTCATATCTCAACAAAACTAATATTCTATCCTCTCCTTTATAGGGTGACCCTGGTGAAGATGGAAAAGCTGTAAGTAATGTGTTTCATAAAGCTACCTTATAATAAAAAAAGACCTAGCTAAACAACCTTTTTCAGTATATCTGGATGAGATTATTCTTCTGAAATTGTGTGTTTTGGGGTTTGTTTTACTGCAAAATAGAAGAAAAGTCTGAATATATTGTTGATTTTGGTTGCTTTGTGCCTATGCTTCATACACAAGATTGATTAAAAATATGTGATTGTAACAGGGCCAAGTTGGACCTTCTGGTTTTCCTGGAAATCCTGGGAATCCTGGACCCAAAGGAGATAAGGTACGTATTTAATGGTGTCAAAGTAGACCACATCAATCAATAATATTAGAGTTGTGAACTATTAAGATCTGAATTGTGAAAACCAGTTATACTGCAATTTGATGCCTTTTTTTAATTTATTTTTTTAGGGAGATCGAGGTGAAAGTCAGCCAGGACCCCGTGGGCCGCCTGGTCCTCCCGGCCCACCAGGACCCTCCTCTGGCTTTGATAGACCTGTGAGTTTATTATTAGTCTTTTATTTAAGTGATCTCTGTTAATTTGAAAGAAATTGATACTTTGATGCACATTCATTTTACAGACGTTTGTGGACATGGAGGGCTCTGGATTTGATATGGACAGTGTGCGGGTATGCCATGTTGACCCTATATTAACCTTAAGGATTAACACAGAACTCAAATCTGCATTTTCTAGTCCCACAGATATTTTAAACCATTTTTTTTCTTGATTTTGATTTTTTGGAATTAAGATTTTTGAGTTTGGGGTTGATAAAATAAGCATCTTATGCTCTTCAAATCTGCAGGTACACGTAAAAAAAAATGGGGAAAAAAAAACTCCCCACAAAAACTCCTAATTTTATGAAACATCATTACAAATAAAATGTAGTAAATGTAGTAGGTTTTGTAAATTTGAATATTATTATTAACACAAGAAAAACCTGAAAAATGCCTTACTAATTGTATGAAATATTATTACAAATAAGATGTAGTAAATCCTGTAAATTTGCTTATTATTATTGACACTAAAACTTGTATTTTAAAACCTGTTGTATAAATTTATACCACAAAAATATGGCAGTTGTGACTTTGGATGATAAAGTGCAAAATGTCAAAAAGTTTATTAATGTTATTTGTAATTCTTGATTGTTTTTATTTTATTTTATTTTTTGTTGTTGAATTTTATATTTGTTAATAGGCAGTGCCTGGTTTGCCTGGTCCACCTGGTCCTCCTGGTCCCCCTGGTCCCCCTGGCTCTGCATCTTCAGGCTCTGGTGGTTTTGGGCCACCTGGTCCTCCTGGGCAAAATGGGGCGCCAGGTCAGCCGGTGAGTTTGAAGAGACATGACACACTGGTTTAAATGTGCTGTGCTAGGAAAAAGTGTGGTCAGAGACATTGCCTTGTGGATCTTGTGTGTACTCTGATGCATTGTTTTCATTGTTGTATTTTTCACTTATTGTTTCTCCATTTTCATGTCTTGTTAAAGCCTAAAAAGTCTAATAATAAAATATTAATAATTAAATATTTGAAGATCTGCATCTTCTGTAAATGATTTCAAATCAGCAAGTTACAGTTGCATCTTCTTGCTCTTTATTAACTCATTATAAATGTTATTTAACTCATTATTTTTATTCTTTTGCCTTCTGTCTTGCTGTACAGTACAATAGTCAGCTATTGCTGTGTTTACTTTTGCTTTATAAATGAGTAAAGTAAATTAAAATATTACTTTTTTTTATTTTTATTTTTTAATAGGGACTTTCGGGTGTACCAGGTGCTGATGGAAAACCAGGCTTACCTGGTCCAAAAGGAGAGAAGGTATGAAGATACTTCCAGACAACTCAGACTTCCATAATAAAAGAAATTCTATCCGCCTCCATAATTAATCAGAGCTGAATTAAATACATTTATGATATATACATATATTAATGTTTAATAAATTCATATTTAAGGGCGAAAGGGTTGCTTAGTGGTTAGCACTGTCGCCTCACAGCAAGAAGGTCACTGGTTCGAATTCTTGTCAGACAAGTTGGCGTTTCTGTGTGGAGCTTGCATGCTCTCCTCGTGTTGGCGTGGGTTTCCTCTGGGTGCTCTGGTTCTCTTCTTCAGTACAAGACATTCACTATACTTTACGTGAAATGGGTAAAAAAAAACTAAGTTGGCTGTAGTGTGTGAATGCGAGAAGCATGGGTGTTTCACACTAATGGGTTGCGGCTGGATGGGCATCCGCTACATAAAACATATGCTATATAAGTTTGTGTTTTGTTCCGCTGTGGTGACCTCTCATGAAAATAAAAAAAATGAATATTAAAATTTAGATGTTGTAATGAATGTTTAGCTTCTGACTTGTCAAACTCTAGACACTGGACAAATCATAACAGAGCAGACTTTTGGAAAGGAGGAGTTTAGAGAAACTGTATTCTTGAATTAGCCATTTCAGACAAATTGAGAAAAGAGATGCTGCTGCAGTGTGCATTATGAGAATATTAAACTCTTTTTGACCTCGCATGAATGGAAACCTACTGTAGACGTCCTCCAAAATAAAATTATGAACCTTGGAAAAAGCATACCAGGGGCACTTTAATATTTTGATAGTCTTTGAAGTCCGATAAAATTGCTGTAATACATTCTATCATCTAAATGTTGCTGTTATTATGTGCGCTTGTGTGGAGTAAACATGCTCTTAAGCAAGCAGGAGGGCATCAATGTGTTTATTAGTCTTATTGGAGACATTTGTAAGCATAAATCTGAAATCCATTAATTCACTTGACATCAGGGCTATCTGTAAAATTCTAAATATTTATGGCTGGACGCAGTGAGTAGGCAATAACACAGAGGACACTGGAATGACCCTCTTATTACTGTTAGACATACAAATGTAAATCCAGCCAGACATGATTTCAAAAACATCCTAATCAGGAATGACTGGAAAGGGTCATGCAAAAGTCATGGCAATTCATTGGTAAAATAAAATATATAAATATGGAAACCTGTCTATATATAGATAGCAGTGCTGGTGGTTTAATGGATTTGGACTTGCATAATTCAGTTCTGTTGAGATCCCTGTAATGGTAGCTATCTTTAGACGCTGGACTGATTTTGTGCTCCGCAGGGTGATGCCGGTGAGCTGGGCCTTCCTGGACCGGTGGGAGAGAAGGTCAGTTCGCTCAAATCTTTCAAGGGTTTTGTATAAAAGAGCATAGTTTGCATATATTCTACTGCATATCACATATGTTGAACTCGCTGGGGTTTTCTGTATGACTGAGAATTATGAACCAGCAAAATTGAGAGACAAGTAGTTTGTTTTTAAAAATAGTCATCACTGTTTTATGTTTAACTAATTATATATGATGTTTAATTAACTACTATTATGATGTTATAGTTTAAGTTATGTGGATTATTGATATAATTTTGTCGGAAGTACAGTCCTAAAAACATCCTGTCTTCCATTACTTTTTTAGTCAGTGTAATGAAAGGAATAGATTTTAATGAGATTAAAATCACATTTTTAACCAGGCCATACATTTTTTAGCTACATTTTCTTACTTTTATATACACATTTTTTAACTCTGTTCAACACAGACTTATATATATATATATATATATATATATATATATATATATAGATAGATAGATAGATAGATAGATAGATAGATAGATAGATAGATAGATAGATAGATAGATAGATAGATAGATAGATAGATAGATAGATAGATAGATAGATAGATAGATAGATAGATATTCGCCGGCCACTTTATTAGGATCACCTTACTAGTACTGGGTTGGACTCCCTTTTGCCTTCAGAACTGACTTAATACTTCATAGCATAGATTCAACAAGGTGCTGGAAATATTCCTCAGAGATATTTGTCCCATGATAGCATCGCACAGTTGCTGCAGATTTGTCGGCTGCACATCCATGATGTGAATCTCCCGTTCCACCACATCCCAAAAGTGCTCTATTGGATTGAAATCTTCTGACTGTTTAGGCCATTTGAGTACAGGAAACTCATTGTCATGTTCACGAAACCAGTCTGAGATGATTCACGCTTTATGACATGGTGCGTTATCCTGATGGCTGTAGCCATCAGAAATGGGTAGACTGTGGTCATAAAGGGATGGACATGGTCAGCAACAATACTCAGTTAGGCTGTGGCATTGAAACGATGCTCAATTGATACTAATGGGCCCAAAGTGTGCCAAGAAAATATCCCCAGCACCATTACACCATTTTTATCAGCCTGAACCGGTGATACAAGGCAGGATGGATCCATGCTTTCATGTTGTTGACGCCAGAGTCTTACCCTACCCATCTGAATGTTGCTGCAGAAATCAAGAATCATCAGACCAGGCAACGTTTTTAAATCTTCTGTTGTTCAATTTTGCTGAGCCTGTGCAAATTGTAGCCTCAGTTTCCTGTTCTTAGTGTGGTCTTCTGCTGCTGTAGCCCATCCGCCACAAGGTTGGACGTGTCGTGTGTTCAGAGATGCTCTTCTGCATACCTCTGTTGTAATGAGTTGTTATTTGAGTTACTGTTGCCTTTATATCAGCTCAAACCACTCTCGCCATTCTCCTCTGACCTCTGACCATTCTCTGTAAATCCTAGAGATGGTTGTGCATGAAAGTCCCATGAAAGTTTCTGAAATACTCAGACCACTCCGTCTGGCACCAACAACCATGCCACGTTCAAAGTCATGTTAATTCCCCTTTCTGATGGTCGGTTTGAACTGCAGCAGATTGTCTGGACCATGTCTACATGCCTTAATGTATTGAGTTACTGCCATCTGATTGGCTGATTAGAAATTCGGACAGGTCGGACAGGTGTACCTAATAAAGTGACCGGTGAGTGTATATACATTGTGATTTGTTTTGTTTGTGATGTACTAAAATAACTAAAACTGAAATTAAAATAAACAAAAATCATAAAGACCTATGAAAACGAAAAACAATTAAATAACAAAGACAAACTAAAAATCTGAACTTAAAGTACAATTAAACTTAAATAAAAAGCAAAGGTATATTGTGAAGAAAAAACAACATTAGGACTAATATTCATTAACAGTATAACAGATTGGAAATCAAATAAAATACAGAATTAAAAAATTATTACTGTATTATTGAATTGTAATTTTATTAAATTTGCTGTAATTTTAGTCAGTATAAAAAAAACTGTTTATGTTGCTCCCAAACACAGCATTTACAGTAGTGGAGGTAAAACTGGAGAGCAGATGTTCATAAATAAGAAGACATTTGAAGACAGATAAAAGAATGATATTGATTTATAGTTAGGACACAGAGTTGTATTGAACGCTGTTTCAGAAAACATCTTTTTTGAAACAGTCAAACCCACTCAGGTTTCTTACATGTTTCTGTCTCTGTAGCAAAACTCCTACATTCCCTGCAATCCTTATGATCTTCTCTCCTACTAACACCAGTTGCTAGGTGGCAGGTAGCAGTTCGGGAGTCTGCTGATCCAACTTTTTCACACAAGTTCTACTTCAAAGCTCTAATGCTAAAATCTAACGTCATTAATATGTGTATGCAATACACTGGAGTTTTTTTTGCCATTGCTTTGTTCATATGTTTAGTAAATATATTATTATCAAGTTAATGCTTTGCTACAAACTAAAGACCTCAATAGATCAGAGTTAAATTCTTATTTGTTCTTAACTTTGGGGAGGAAAGATTGAAATATCTGAGCATCAATAACTAAAAATTAAAATCCCGATGATAATTTTTCATATCACTTACGTTAATCGCCACAATAGCTCAAAGGTGTTTACCAGTCGCAACAAACTCCATAACCACCTACAAACTAACTTAATTACTTTCAGTGACCAAACTAGTTCCTCAGGCCTTATTGGCATTGATTTAAAAGTTGCCTCATTCATTTATTCATCATTCTCCTTGTATTTAAAGGGTGCCAAAGGTTCTTCTGGTCCCCCTGGCACCACTGGGATTGGTGGGCCTGCTGGTCTTCCAGGACCAATTGGACCTATTGGACTTCCAGGACCACCTGGTCCTCCTGGACCAAGCTTTAATGTTGGTTTTGTAAGTATTCATCAGTCATCTTGTATGTTTTCCAGTGGTATAGGATGAAAATTATAGTTATCTATGAAATGTTGTCTTCTTTGTGTGTGTTCAGGATGACATGGAAGGTTCTGGTGTTCACTTCAGTTCAGTACCTGGAGTAAGAGGACCAGTTGGAATCCCGGTTTGTTTTTCTTTTCTTTTTCTTTTTCTTTTTCATTGTCGCACTTTATTTTGATGGTTTGTTGAATTTAAGTAACATTGCATCTTTATGCCAATTAATTCTCCTTAGATTGTGAGTAGAATGTTACAGTAGGTTGGGGTTTGGGTTAGTGTATTTTGTACTTACAAAGTTTCTTATAGTCAGTTAAATGTCTGTTGAAAGAGCAGTATCAACAGATATTAAACAGAGAGTCTACTAATACTCAAATGGACCATCAAAATAAAGTGTTACCTTGTTTCTTTTATTAATATTTTTGGATCATCATTCACTTCATTTCAATCTTATTTAATTTCAGGGGCCACCTGGTGTCCCAGGGCCACAGGTAAGACTTACACAAATAAGATTTACAGCATAGCACCCTCTAAAGTTGGCACCATTGATAAATATGAGCAAGAGTTGCTCAAAATATTAACCAAAAATCTCTGCTCTCATTGAGAACAAATAATTGCAAAGAACAGCATAGGCTTATCAATCTACAAATAGCATATTCCCATATATATTTGACAATTTTAGTACACCTGGGTGACTAGGAACAGGAAAGCTTTCAACCATGAACTCCTGATTCATAGGACTGTACATACAATGAAACAGAGGGCCAAACTCACTCAGTCAGTCACTACAATGTGTAAAACCAAAGAATAGAGCTGTGATTTGCAGCAAAAGGTTGTCAAGATTCACAAAATTGGGAAGTGACTATAAGAAAATAGCTAAAACGCTGAAAATGCCCATTTCCACCATTGGGGCAATAATTGATATAATCATATGAGTTATGAATCAGTCTGGATGAGCACTCATGTCCATTTTGTCCCAATGCACTGTTACAATGATGGTTTGAGTTTCCAAAAAAATCTCATAATTACAGCTGAACAGCAGATGTTAGCTGGGTCTTTTGGTTAGAACATCTAAAACTACAATCTGATGTCACTTACATCACCAAGAGTTTCAAGAAAAAAGTGACCACTCCCTTCCAATACCAAATTGAAGAATTTTCAGGTTTTTATGTTAATATATTGAGCAAACAATCCCAAAGATACCATTTCAGTTCACACCTTCATTTATTTTTATATTGTTCCACAGGGTCAGCCTGGATTCCCAGGGCTTCCTGGTGAGAAAGGCAGTTTAGGAGCTCAGGGAAATGATGGTCTTCCTGGTGCAGATGGCTTCCCTGGACCACAGGTGTGTTTCATTTTGATAATACATTTAGGTGCTAATTTGCTCATCATCCACTGTGCTGTTCAGTACTTGAGGCTGATATCAGTGTCTTGCATTTGCCTATAGGGACCAAAGGGCGACAAAGGAGAGCGAGGCGACAGGGTGAGGTTACATTCATTCTAAATTGGATCGATGTAGTATCTGGGACTTTTAAATTGTATGTGGCTTATTTGATGAAATGTGATTTTCTTTTTAGGGTGAACCTGGTCGAGATGGACATGGTCATCCAGGCCAACCAGGCCCTCCTGGACCACCTGGACAGATTATTTATCGCTACTCTGAACATGTAAGTCTTTAAATTTGTTCTGTTTTTTTATTTATTTTTTTGGAGAATGGTTCTTTTATTAACTGTATTTTTTTCTGTACAGTATGATGAAGTTGGAGGAACGGGGGCTCAGGTATGATAGTCCTGCTTCTATCAGTCTGTGTATTGGGAGACCACAAATTGACGTGTGAGCATTTAAATGCAGACACATTTCTCTAAATGTTCCAATATCTGTGTGTTACTTGTGTGGTTTTTAGGGTGGTTCTGGTGTTCCTGGCCAAGCAGGATTCCCAGTTAGTACTCATTTTATTTGGTCCTCCTTTTTTTCTTGATCAATACACTTTAGTCATTTATGTATTCTGGAAGTCTTTAATAAGGGAACAGTTCAGATGCAGAAAAAAAAGTGCCATCTGAAAATTTCTCCTAGAATGACCATTTTTCCTTAGCCTCTAATATTTTTGTTATTTCACTTTAAAGGCAATGTAAAGAACGCATTTCTGGATTTACTGAACATGCACACAGGAGCTTCCCAAAAATGCTGATTGCAGAGGACATTTTCAGATGGCATTTAGAGCTTTTTGCACCTGAACTCTTCAAGTGCAGTGACATTAAACATGGGAAAACTGTTTTTTGCACATTGTCCATTAAAAAGTTTACAAAATGACAGATAGTGTCTTAGACTGTTCAAATATTTATAGTTTGCACAGCTATATAATTTTTTGATTTTAATAAATAAATGTTTGTTGGAATATCACAAATTTTCAGTCACATATATTCTGCAAATGACAGTATTTTATTTAAATTTTCTTAGAACTGTTTATTTTGTTTTTTATTAAAACCCATACCTGCAAATTCAGATAAATCTAGTCAAACCTAATTTGATCCATATCTTTGGTCAAGAGGGCATTTATAGGTATTTTAAAACAGCTTATCCAATAAAAAATACTATATAAAGTCAGAATGTTGTATTTTAGAATCAGTCTTATACTCTTGCTTTTTATTTCATCAGGGCCCAATGGGACCAAAGGGTGACAGAGGTGAGCCTGGTCTTCCAGGCTATGACATTAAGGTTTGTATGCCGAAACCAACAAACAAAGCTTAACATGAGATGTTATAAACCTCTGCTCTGAAAAAAACAAACAAACTTGTTTACAGGGGGAGAAAGGAGAACCTGGACTTATTCTTGGACCTGATGGAAATCCACTTTACCTTGGTGGATTGACAGGACAGAAGGTTGGTTTATTCATTCAAAAGACTTGTTTTTGGTCTCTAAATAATACAGATTAGTCCTTTTTTGTCTCTATTGTTGTCATAACTTCACTAGCAATAATAAGTAGGTAAATATTATATCAATGTACTTTTTTATTTAGCTAAATTTGATGTTCTTTTTATTTTACTTTCTGTAGGGTGAGAGAGGTATTTCTGGACCAGTCGGACCTCCTGTATGTTTCTATTTTTATTTATTTTTATTATTCAGATTTAAATAAAGAACTATTTTAGATGCATCCGCTAACATCTAAGTTTGATCTCATTTTTTTCAGGGTCCAGCAGGACCTCCTGGTGCAAAAGGTGAATTCGGAATGCCAGGCAGACCTGTAAGTCTTTCACAAAACAACTTTCATTAACCTACAACTATTGTATGGCATCATATTTAAGTGAGTATGTAATTCGATTTTACTTAACAACCTGATTTTATGACTGTAGGGTCGTCCAGGTGTGAACGGATATAAAGGAGAGAAGGGAGAGCCAAGTTCAGGCTCTGGATATGGTTACCCGGTAAGTCCACCACCTCCTCTTGAATATGAAAATTAATGCAGTTCGTTCAATCAGTGCTTGTTATATAGATGGCTTGCCCTCATATGTTATCTTGTGGCTTTTCAAGGGTCCCCCTGGTCCCCCAGGACCCCCTGGTCCCCCCGGACCCGCTGTGCCCTTGGACAGATTTGGCGTAAGTGATTTTTGTGTCATATAAGCTGTAATTCATGCATGAAATGCTGGAAAATGAGCTCAATATGCTGGCTGTGTTAAACTGAAGTGATCATGATTGCACCAGCAATAATTTGCAACCTCATTTTTTTCCCATTTCAGAGATATGAAGATTATGCAAGGCTCTATCCAGGTAGGTTGTTACAGTCTTTTTTGTTAACGAGAAGAAATATATTTGATACAAATCTAAATATCTTTATTTACTTTTTTAAAATACTTTTGTAATTTCTAGAAATTGCTCCATTTCTGAAACAATGTTGGTGATAAAATAACTTTAATAAATATTTCTCAATGTATTAAATCAAGCTCTCATTCTCGCATTGAATGCGTTGTTTCAGGTAAAAATTCTCAAGGTTACTGTAAAAACGGATTGAGAACAGCATTTTATTTTAATAAATAACTCAAGTTTTAACGTCTCAGATCACCTATATCTCTATGAAATTTAAACAATACCTTTTTTTATTATTATTAAGCTACGAAAGGAGAGAAAGGAGACCAAGGAGCTCCTGGCATTCCCGGATCGCCAGGTAAAATTTACCACTGTTGCTGTTTTTAGACATTCAGGGCCGTTGGCAGGCGGGAGTAGCAAGACTGTCCTGGAGTCTGTAAATCTTTCAGACTCTCTTGATAAAGCACCCTGACTTACTAGCTTGACAACATTTTCAAATCATTGTGAACGTTTTCAGGGTTCTTAATGCATTAATGCAATCTTCACTATTTTTTATAACAGGTTTTTCCACAAACTTTGATATATATTCACTCAAGGTATGTGAACCATTAAATGCAAACATTATTTAAAATAACCTAATTGTTTGGTTATTTTTTAATATTTCAACAACTGTTTTCTCAGAATGAGATGAAGGGTGAGCGGGGAGAGTCTGGTCTTAAAGGAGAGAAAGGAGAACCAGGAGGTGGATTTTATGACCCTCGTTTTGGAGCTGTACAAGGACCACCAGGGAACCCAGGACCTGCTGTGAGGATATTTATGAGACCTTTATGAGATATCTACGATGTCTGAATTGTGTAGTTTTTGTTTTGATTTGAGTGGTCTCATCAAAGTTGTCATTTCTAGGGACCTAAAGGAGACTCAATCAGAGGCCCACCTGGACCCCAGGGCCCACCAGGAACACCCGGGGTTGGTTATGATGGTCGACCAGGTAATCCAGGACCTCCTGGACCACCTGGTCCACCAGGGTCCCCATCACTGCCAGGACCCTATAGGCCACGTAAGAAAGAAATATAAGCATTTTGCAATGTTTCTTATCTACAATAATATTGTAATTGTTGTAGTAATGATATGTGTGCTGACATAATCGAGTACTGTATGTTACTCAGTTTGCAAAAACAAATATTGAAAATTTTCACGCAATTGAAAATAAGCAGAAGCAGAACAATTTTGTGTCTCAGAGCAACATTGTGATTTTTCATTCCAAAATTAACCTTTTTAAGCAAACTGAATCAGCCAATGGTTCAATAATTTATTCACAAAGGTAATGGATGTATCTGAACTCACATAAGCTCTTGAGTAGGTACTTATTTTGCATAATTAATTACTTTGCAACCACTAACATTCTTTATAGGATGAAAATGTGTAGCATCAATGTATCTAGAACTGTTATCCTGCCACTTTTTATCTACAATTTAAATGCAGATACAGTTTTTCACCTACTCTATTGTATTAACTGTTTTAAACATTTATGTCATTTAAATGAATATATTACATATTACAACAGATTTTTCACCTACTGGCATTTTTAGTGTCAGTTAAATATCATTGAGAAAACGAGTCCAGGAAAAGTTTCATAAATATAAATATACCAGGTATGATTCTGTGAACTAAGATGTTGATTTCTATAAATCAATATTTAATAAATCTATAAATCAGCTTGTAAAATTATAAAAACAAAAAAAAAAACAAAAAATGGATTGAGATACACTACCTGACAAAAGTCTTGTCATAGATCCCATTTGTAAAAGCAACAAATACAGTAATAACTTGACATCTTGTTGATCATTTACAAAAGTGGCAAAAGGTAGATTTTTCCTATGAATCATCTGTTAAACTGCATCCTAATCATCACAAATACTGCAGAAGACCTATTGGAACCAGCATGGACCCAAAATTCTCAAGAAATCAGTCAAGTTTGGTGAAGGAAAAATCATGATTTGGGGTTGCATTCAGTACAGGGGGGCCTGTGAGAGGGCCTGTGAGAGAGTGAATGGTAAAATCAACAGCCTGAGGTATCAAGACATTTGTGCTGCCCATTACATTACAAACCACAGGAGAGGGTAAATTCTTCAGCAGGATAGCGCTCCTTCTCATACTTCAGCCTCCACATCAAAGTTACTGAAAGCAAAGAAGGCCAAGGTACTCTAGGATTGGCCAGCCCAGTCACCAAAGATGAACATTATTGAGCATGTCTGGGTAAGATGGAGGAGGAGACATTGAAGATGAATCCAAAGAATCTTGATGAACTCTGGGAATCCTACAAGAAGGCTTTCTTTGTTATTTGAGTCATTGTAGAGATGTATGGATGCATTTATCCAAGCTCATGGGAGTCATACACAATATTAATAATTTCTTACTGCACCATGACTTAACATTCTATACTGCACATTGTTTCTGTTAAGTTACAAGACTTTTGTCTAAGCAAAGTCAGACCTTCCTGTCCTAATTACAAAATAAAAATGAGGGCATAATCATGTTTTATTTTGGTAAAATAGGCATGATCTAGAAGGCTTTGCCTTTTCATATAAGCCACTTCTGATACCAAATGATCAACTAGAAATCAAGTTATTATTTGATGTTTATAAAACTTGGATACGTGACAAGACTTTTGTCAGGTAGTGTATACTGTAGATATATTTTTCGCTAATAATATACACCACATTTAAGTGTTCTCAAGGAAAATAATCATTCACATGGTATCATATAAGAAAATAATCATTCACATGGTATTTGATTTATTACAGCACTCAGTATTCCTGGACCTCCAGGTCCTCCTGGCCCACCTGGAATTCCTGGCACTGGATCAGGGGTGAGCGAGACTTTCATTGAAGAAAAGACTAATGGATCGGATCTGATTAAACCACTAATGCTTCATGCTTTAATCATACTTCTGCTTTTAAATGTATCATCAGGTGACTGTCCTGAGGTCTCATGACATAATGATTGCTACAGCACGCAGACAGACAGAAGGGACTCTGATTTACATTCTGGACAGAAACGATCTCTACCTCAGAGTTCGGGACGGTGTTAGACAAGTGATGGTACGTGCTTTAAATGTCCATCCTTAAAAATGCTATAAATGCATTTCATTTATGATATCAATTTAATAACTTGATATTAAATGAACACATTTCATGAGCATGTGATAAAAATCTAACTGTATAATTGGCCTCAATATCACTTGGATTTGGGTCCTATTTTAACTTGTTGGGTTTATTTCACTCCAGTATGAAAGTTGACACACTAAATCTTCACAGTTCTGTCCAAACAGCTTACAAAAAGATGATTTTCATTCAGGTTTTTTTACATGTCTATTTAAATTTTAACTTTATTTCTTTCATTTACAGCTTGGGGATTATAAACCTCTTTATGGAGAGCTGGTAAGCAGAGTGCATACAGCTTTAATGTTAACACTCAAATAAGCACCCACCATTTAATCTAATGAAATTGGTATTAGTGGATGGTGTGCATATCAAATCCAGAAGGTTTGAGTAAAGCTTGTTGTTTTTTCCTCCAGGACAATGAAGTGGCAGCAGTCCAGCCACCCCCTGTTGTTCACTATTCCCAGGACCACACGGCTAACAATGGCGCAGAGCAGATTTCTCCACCACACCAGCCTATTGATTTCCCAACGAGAGAGCAGGAGAACAGAAACCCCAACCCGCAACCTGACCCCCGATACCCGGATCCACGATACCCACCATACACTGACAACAGATACACCGATCCTGTAGAGCCCAACATCAGATATCCTGTTCAACCCGAGAGGAATCCAATCACTCCAGCCCGCCGTCCTATCCCTCCTGTCAATCAGCCAGGAGGCCACGCCCACACCCACACTTCCGGACCAGGGGTGAGTTCACTTAGAGATACAGTAGTTCACCCAAAAATTTAAGTTTACCCCCTATAAACCTTTATAAGTGTCTTTAGTCAAAATATATTTTGAAAAGAGCTGAAAACCTGTAACCAATGACTTCCATAGCAAAAAAAATGGAAGTCAATGGTTACAGGTTTCCAGCTTAATACAGTATATCTTCTTATGTGTTTAACAGAAGAAAGAAACTGAAATCGGGTTGAGGGATGAGTGAATGATGATGGATTTTTTAGATGAACTATGCTTTTGACCACTGTTTTTTTCCACTTTACTGACACTATTTTCTTTTCTGTTTTACAGTTGCATCTTATTGCTCTGAATTCTCCACAAGTGGGCAACATGAGAGGCATTCGCGGGGCAGACTTCATGTGCTTCCAGCAGGCACGGGCCGTTGGCATGAAGGGAACGTTCAGAGCCTTCCTGTCCTCCAAACTCCAGGATCTCTACAGTATCGTCCGCAGATCTGACAGAGAGACATTACCAATTGTTAACCTAAAGGTGTGTTGTGCATTACTCAAACATTCAGACAATAAAATTACAGTAATTTTACCGCAATAAATTAGTATTTTTAAAGGGTTAGTTCACTCAGAAAAGCTAATTATTATTTATTACTCACCCACATATTGTTCCTGAGACCTTCGTTTAACTCAACACAACACAAACTGAGCTATTTTAGATGATATCCTGGAGCTCTCTTATCTTCCATAGACAGCAACAGTGCTGAAACATTCAAGAAGTCAAGTAAAGAAACCAAAAAACATTTTCAAAACATTCCATGTGACGTCAAGTGGTTCAACTGTAATCAAACAAAGCTCCAAATCTATCTTTTGTGAGCCAATAAGAACTGTAAAAATGACTTCAGATGTTCAGATGTAGATGTTCCTACAGTATTTCTTATCACCTATATCAGGTCAAGGTGTGCATTTATTTTGGTGAGTGCCATGTGTTGACATTAGATTCAGCAGCACAACGCGCAAACATCATATTGCCCATAGTAAATGTGCACCCTAGTCTGATGAGGAAAACATAGGAAAACAAAGTTTAAGTTTACTCTTATTGTGCACAAAAGTGTTCTTGGTGCTTCACATGATTAAAGTTGAACCACTGAAGTCCCAGGTAAGGTTTTGACAATGTTTTTGGTTTCTTTATGACATATGGGTGAAATGATCTAAAATCAAAAACTCGATCAATTAAACACTATACATACATTTTTGATTATTTAACGATTATTTTATTTGTCTTTAGAGTGGAGGAACTATGATGTCAATTGGTATGCAAATATCTGGAAATGACTTTGCATTTTAGCAGTTCCAGTCCCCTCGTCCCAAAGTCAATGGGTTTTTTCAATGGGATTTCAGTTAAATTGCTTAAATAAGGTTCATGGCTAACACAAGCTCAAGATACTTTCACGTTTTATTATTCTACAGCATAAAACACATCAGTTACATCACACTTAAGATTTTAAAATTCCGTTTCGTTTCTTAAAAAGACGGTTGCTGTGAAGTTGCTAAATGGAACTACAGCGATGTCGGAGACATTATACGTCATCGAGCTGGTCTGGAACACAGCTTGCTTGCATTGGGCATTTGGATTTGTCTGTTATTTAAGTATTTTCATAAATAGTATTTTATAGTTTGTAGTATTTTTCTTATTGGGAATTCATATTGTGGGTGGATAATGCCTTCACTTGTAAAGACCATCAAGACAGATTAATTGGTTGATCCTTTATTTTGATTAAACGATTTTATGGGGATAACTCATCTCTGATTTATTTAATCTTTGCAATGATGACAGTAAATCATATTTTACTAGATATTTTTCAAGACACTTTTATACTGCTTAAAGTGACATTTAAAGGCTTAACTAGGTTAATTAGGTTAACTAGGCAGGTTAGGGTAATTAGGCAAGTTATTGTATAATGATGGTTTGTTCTGTAGACTATCGAAAAAAATATATCTTAAAGGGGCTAATGCCTTTGTCCTCAAATCAGCTTTTGAAAAATTAAAAACTGCTTTAATTCTAGCCAAAGTTAAACAAAAAAGACTTTCTCTAGAAGAAAAAATATTATCAGACATACTGTAAAAATTTCCTTGTTCTGTTAAAACATCATTTGGAAAACATTTAAAAAAGGGGGGCTAATAATTATGACTTCAACTGTCATTTTAACGTGATCAATAGATTTTTTGTAGTTTTTTTTCTTCATCTAAACACATTTAACTCTCTCATAACTGCAGTATTTACACTGTATAGCATATGAGACTATGGGCTGCTTTTTGCGGTACTTCGTGACAAAACAAGAATAATGAATGTTGCTCTGTGTCCATGATGGAACTTGCAGGCATTTGATAGAGTTGTCCCTCACACCTCATTTCTGTCGTCTGTTACTAAGGTAAACAGGCCGTGTGCACGCGAGCGACACACTTATTTAAATATATCTTATGATAGTACTTTGTAGGCACATTTATACATAAAAACTTTTTAAAAACTTTTACAACAATCGTAAAGCAAAACAAAGTGTATTTCCCACGTAAAAAAAAACTATCCAAAAGGCACGTATGTCTATGTGCTTTTGTGTATTTAATTGGATCATAATATAAAAAAAGAGAGTAAATCTTTGTCAAGGACCATATTTTTAAAAATTAGCTTGAAAAGTTGTCTGTAGCGGGTGGTGCTGACGTCCCAGGTGAGCGCCTTGAAGCTATTGTCATCCATGTATAGCCTAACGTAAGCTTTTCAGTTCTTATGTTTGCATTGAAGATTCAAAAGTGCTAAAAGTTGTATTTTTGTGTGAGGATTATCCGGCTGGACAAAACATGTAAGTGTAATAAACTGCTTTTGAACATAGAGCTTATTATTTGCAATCTTCGAAAAGCCCATGGGAAAATCCTAAGAATTTTATCGAGGGAACCGGTTTTATGTTAGCAGCCCATTTGCCTACAAGGTGACGTCATAGTTCCTCCACTCTATTAATTTATTTTTTTAATTCATAATTCATTAAATGTTTGTACTGTGAATATATAAATTTTTACAAAATGAAACATTTCAATACTTTGTGATGTTAAAATAAGAACATTTCTGGCAAATAAACACAGTTACATTTGTTTAGAGTTGCTCATTGCATTGAAGGTATTGGTTTGATCGTTGGATCATTTTGACAGTTCCTAGTCATATTCTCATCTAGAGAAAACTTACTCAACTCACTTGGTGTTTGTTTGGTCCTGTCTCTCGATGACACTGATGTTCTGGTGTGCAGGATCAAGTCCTCTTCAGCAGCTGGGAGTCTCTCTTCAGTGACTCAGAGAGCAGGATGAAGGACAATGCACCCATCTACTCGTTTGATGGCAGAGATGTCCTGAGGGACAGTGCCTGGTGAGTGCCTTTAAACTGACACTTCAGCAGATCAGCCTGACACTGTCTATCTATCTATCTATCTATCTATCTATCTATCTATCTATCTATCTATCTATCTATCTATCTATCTATCTATCTATCTATCTATCTATCTATCTATCTATCTATCTGTCTGTCTGTCTGTCTGTCTGTCTGTCTGTCTGTCTGTCTGTCTGTCTGTCTGTCTGTCTGTCTGTCTGTCTGTCTGTCTGTCCGTCCGTCCGTCCATCCATCTATCTGTCGTTCTATCAGTCGTTCTATTTGTCGATCTGTCTATCTATCTATCTATCTATCTATCTATCTATCTATCTATCTATCTATCTATCTATTGATCTATCGATCTATCGATCGATCGATCGATCGATCGATTGATCGATTGATCGATCGATCTATCTATCTATCTGTCTGCCTGTCTGTCTATCTGTCCGTCCATCTATCTGTCGTTCTATCTATCTATCTATCTATCTATCTATCTATCTATCTATCTATCTATCTATCTATCTATCTATCTATCTATCTGTCTGTCTGTCTGTCTGTCTGTGTCTGTCTGTCTGTCTGTCTGTCTATCTGTCCGTCCGTCCATCTATCTGTTGTTCTATCAGTCGTTCTATTTGTCGATCTGTCTATCTATCTATCTATCGATCTATCGATCTATCGATCGATCGATCGATCTATCTATCTATCTGTCTGCCTGTCTGTCTATCTGTCCGTCCATCTATCTGTCGTTCTATCTATCTATCTATCTATCTATCTATCTATCTATCTATCTATCTATCTATCTATCTATCTATCTATCTATCTATCTATCTATCTATCTATCTATCTATCTATCTATCTATCTATCTATCTATCTATCTATCTATCTATCTAGTCCGTCCGTCCGTCCGTCCATCGTTTAATTAATCATTGTAATTTTGGAAAGGTCTCACAGTTTTCTAGTGTTTCCTTTGAAAAGCTTAAAATGGTCATTTCCCTTCCTCTCTCCTATAGGCCAGAGAAGATGATTTGGCACGGATCGGATGGCAGGGGTCACAGGCAAACGGATAACTACTGCGAGACATGGAGGGCCGGAGACCGCGCTGTCACAGGCCTGGCCTCGTCCCTGCAGGCTGGTCAACTCCTCCAGCAGACCTCCAGCAGCTGCTCCAGCTCCTACATCGTGCTGTGCATCGAGAACAGCTACATGACACAGTCCAAGAAATAAAGCCGTCCGAAAGAGCCTTTGAAAACTCAACACTTCAGTCATACAGGCCCAGATTTTGCTCCAGTAGATGCCTGTATCTAATGAATGGAAATGTTAAAGAGTAAATTAAACTGAGTCTGCCTTAAGGAGAATTTGCCAGTCATCTATTCGCCGTAACGCCAAAGGTTGAACGTGGAGGTGTTTGCTCTTTCTCAGGGCACTGGCACATCTTTTTCAGGGGGTTAAACCAGAGAAGTGAGGCCAACTGAGGCAGTTTTTTTTAACTGTATCCATATAAAATTTTGTATATGAATTGTTTGTCTTCTGTGTTGTTGTTTTTTTTTTTTTGAAAAATGTCTTAATTGGTATATTTAACCAATTTTAGCTATATTTTTTTGTGCAACCATTTTCCTTCAAGGTTATGTTGGATATCGAGGAGCAAACCTTGACATAGTTTTAGAATTTGAAAAGAGAAAGTATTTATTTTGCAATAAAGAGAGCTAAAATATGATTTGAAACCACAAAGCATATTTGTTTGCTATTTTAGCAAGCACATTTTTGCTACTTCAACAGATGTAAGACTGAAGTGTAGCTTATAAATGGCTGCTCTCTAAAAACCTCTAGTGGGCAAAGAGAAATGCCTTAAATAATTCAACGCTTACCCCTCAAGAGTGTTTTGTACAAAACAAATGATTTGATCTGTTGCATCTATGGAATCACTGTGTTTTTTTTTTCTATTGTGATTAATGTGAAATTTCATATGGACATCTGAGTGTCATTATTTTACTCTTCTGGTTGATTCCAGAAGTTTCCATGAGTAACGGGAATGGGAAGCTGAATAGTATTTGTAACAAATATTTTAAGGAAAAAAATTCTGTTACTAAAAAATAGTGGTTACATGTCCCATAATTCAAAGGCATTGGTTGCATTCGGTGCTTTTTGCTGATGAAACAGCTGCTGACAGTGTTGTTTGGGAGAGACAGATGTGTTTTATGAAGACACTTTATCTTCTATCCATATGGAATTTCAGACACCTAATCCACTCTAGTGCTACTGATGTGTTCAGCACAACCCTGTGGGCTTCTAGTCTTTTTTTCTTTCTTTCCTTTTGTACTAGTATGTGCTGCATCATGTCTCGGAGGCACTGACATTTTTTATTTTTCATTAGCCACAATAATTTTGGCACCACTTCTTGTGTATTAAAATCTATTTCCTTAAAACCTACACATATCTTAGACTATGTTGTCTGTTCATGCACAATATTAACATATCGGATGTCGTTCACAAGCCATTTCATATCATGATTGTTTACTGTTCACTGACTGTTTACTAAAAAAAAAAATAAAGGTACATTTTTCCTCTTCAAATTCATGAAAAAGATGTTCATTCTTTGTGAGAGCCATTAAACCCACAAGCATTACAGTGCATCCGGAAAGTATTGACAGCGCTTCACATTTTCCTCATTTTGTTATGTTACAGCCTTATTTCACAATGGATTAGTCATTGATTTCCTTAAAATTCTACACACAATACCCCATAATGACAAAAAAAGAGTTTCTGAAATTGTTGCAAATTTATTAAAAATAAAAAAAAACCTGAAAAGTCACATGTACAGAAGTATTTACAGACTTTGCTCAATACTTTGTTGATGCACAGCCTCAAATCTTTTTGAATAAGATGCCACAAGCTTGGCACACCTGTCTTTGGTAATTTTTGCTCAGTCCTCTTTGCAGTACCTCTCAAGCTCTATCAGGTTGGATGGGAAGAGACCATTTTCAGATCTCTCCAGAGATGTTCAATAGGATTTAGGTCTGGGCTCTGGCTAGGCCACTCAAGGACATTCACCGAGTTGTTGTGAAGCCACTCCATTAATATTTTGGCTGCGTGCTTTGGGTCATTGTCCTGCTGGAAGATGAACCATCGCCCCAGTCTGAAGTCAAGAGCACTTTGAAGCAGGTTTTCAACTCAATTCAATTCACCTTTACTTGTACAGTGCTTTTACAATGTAGATTGTGTCAAAGCAGCTTCACATAAAAGATTATAGTAAATTGAACAGTGTAGTTCAGTTTTCAAAGTTTAACTTTAATTCTGTCTAGCTCAGTGTGGTTAACAATCACTGCTGAGACTCCAAACACTGAAGAGCAAATCCATCGATGTGCAGCTCTACAGATCCTGAACCATGCAAGCTAGAGGCGACAGCAGTGAGGAAAAAACTTCACCAATTGGCGAAAGTGAAGAATTAAAAAAAAACCTTGAGAGAAACCAGGCTCAGTTAGGCACGATCATTTCTCCACTTCTCCACTGGCCAAATGTCTTGTGCAGAGCTGCAGTGTAGGTGCCGGAGGCTGGAAGCTGGACCTCATCGAAGACTCGTCTGTCCCTGGAGCGTCGCAGGAATCAGTCTTGTGCTCTCTACTCCTCCATGACCACAACAGTAGCTGCTCAGGATACGGCCTGGTCCAGGATCGAGGAAAAGATGAATGCACCTTTGGCGGTCCTGGTCTTCATTCAGGATGTCTCTGTACATTGCTGCATTCATCTCTAGGAAGAGTCCTGGTGGTTCCAAACATCTACCACTTACAGATGATGGAGGCCACTGTGCTCATTGAAACTTTCAGAGTAGAAGAAAAATTTCTTCTGTAACCTTCTCCAGCCTTGTTCCTTAAGGCAATCTTGTCTCTGAGGTCTACAGACAATTCCTTTGTCTTCATGCTTGGTTTGTGGATTGACATGAACTGTCAACCCTGGGACCTTATATGGACAAGTGTATGCTTTTTTCAAATCATGTCCAATCAACTGAATTTACCACAGGTGAACTCCAATTAAGCTGCTGAAACATCTCAAGAATGATCAGTGGAAACAGAATGTACCTGAGTGCTTTTCATCCATTTTGGAATAAGGCTGTAACGTAAACAAATGTGGAAGAAGTGAAACGCTACATCATGAATACTCTCCGGATTCACTGTAGATGCATAAAACAGTTATTTTTACGGAAGCCATATATAATCTTATTTTTCACATCAAACTTTACATTTTGAAGACCTTGCTGTCACGATTAAGCGACGTGTATAAATCCCTGCTTCTAGTTCACATAAAAGCCACTTTTGATCAGTGTAAGTGCTCTTCATTCTCAAAGGTTGGAATTGTAAACTATGCAATTCTGCTAAATGCTGTTTAAGCATTGAAATACTCCCAGGCAAACATCGTGTGTGTGCGAATGGCAGAGGGCCCCAAAGTCCTGATTCATGCATGTCTCTAAATTGCACGGTGTGCCCCTTTGATGACATTGCAATCCCTCCTCAGTGCCTATTGCACTGGTTCTCTGTCCGCCTGAAGGGTTTTACAGCCTGTTCAATAGGATTTAGCGATGTGGCCTTGAGAGGGCCTCAAGGCACAAATCAGAGACTGCTGACAGCGAGCTGGTGAAGCGACCCCTTTTGTATCGCAGGACTTAAAGGTCCTCCGCAAGCATTTCAGCCAGGTGGACCAAGCCTGAGGTAAAATAACCCATGGGCATTTGGAAAAGTTGATTAAGCTAAATGATGTGGCAAAAAATGCCCCGTCTGTCAAAAACGTACTGTTTAAAAAGGTTTCAGATGGTGTCGTTACGCTGCACTAGGATAACAGGAACTCTGCAGGAGATCAGCAGGATGACTGATTAACTGTTGGTTTTGTTGTGATCTCTACTGAACTGAAGGAAATTGAGTTTTGATAGGCCTTAGGTTCTTGACTGCACAACTCTTCCCCCAAAATTGAGGCCTGCAGTTGCCAGCAAATTGACTGGTGCAAAGTTGGGTATGCAAAATAGTAGCATATCCGTCAACAATTATTGGGGTTTAAAGAAAAAAATTAGCTACGTTTAAAATAATATGGCCAAATCAACCCAAGTAGGCCTATACCTGTAAACTGAATTATAGGTGTGGGTTTAAATGTAACAATGGTTTATTAAGATTAAGCCTATGCCTAATTTTGTTTCCTAATTGGTCAAATCTCGAATTTACATACTAGGAATTTTTCAATTGTTTTGGAAGAAATTTGTCTATTTTTAGGAAGGCCTATGGCAACAAATCGACTGATTGCTTCCTATTTAATGTACATCAACATTACTAATTAATTCACTTAATAGGATGCTACACAATATTATCAGTTGTTTTAAAACATTAACCTTATAAGTCAAATCACAATAGAGTAGATGCAGAGGGACTTTTCATTTTTTAGTAACCTGGGTCAAGTGCTTACGGTGAACTGTATATGCCGTTACAAAATTAGGAGCGTTTAAGGTCTGTCTTCTTTAAAAATACTTACTGCCTGATTGATATATAAAAAACCCTATATTATATAAAGTGGGTCTCAGAAAGTACAAAAAGCACTGCATTAAATGATTTTTTTTCGTGGTATGTCTTTAAAATTTGAAACTACTGTATACTTTACCCCAGTATTTTCAATAGAGATTCTGCGCTAGCTATCAGACGCATGCATAAAAGGCTTTTCATTTTGTTTTACACTTGAACAAGTCAATAAATGCTGAATCAATTTACTGATTATATTTTAATTACATAACAACATAGATGGGGTAAAAGAAACCCTATAAAATTGAAAAATAATCACATTAACATTTCACCGGACGTTTATCGGTATAGGAAGAAACACTTGCTCTGCATATACACTGCAAAAAATGCTTTTCTTGCTTAGATTTTTTGACTTATTTCTAGTGCAAATATCTAAAATGTCTTATATCAAGAAGCCTTTTCTAGACAAGCAAAACATATTGTCTTATTTTAAGAAATAATACGCCAATATTAAGCAAGTTTTTCCTTAAAACAAGCAAAATAATCTGCCAATGGGGTAAGCAAATTAATCTTGTTTTTTCTTTTGACATAAGATTATTTTGCTTACCCCATTGGCAGATTATTTTGTTTGTTTTAAGGAAAAACTCACTTAATTTTGGCATATTATTTCTCAAAACAAGACAATATGTTTTGCTTGTCTAGAAAATTATTCTTGATTTAGGAATATTTAGATATTTGGACTAGAAACAAGACAACAAATCTAAGTAAGAAAAGCATTTTTTTGCTGTGTACCACACAGACAGGGCTTAATTTGTGCCAGGCACCTGATTTTACCGACCCGCCTTCTCAACCGCCCTTTTGCCACAGTGGAATACACCACCTACTTATCCAGGAGGTTTTACGCAGTGCATGCCCTTCCAGCTGCAACCTATCTCTGGGAAACATCCATACACACTCATTTACCACATACACAACGGACAATTTAGCCTACCCACAGAAACGCCATCTGACGCAGTCGAGGCTCCAACCAGCAAGCTTCTTGCTGTGAGGCGACAGCACTACCAACTGCACCACCGAATTAGGTTATTGTAGTTATAATTCAAGTTTATAACTCTTGATAACTATAATTATTTAGTACATTATGAATTTACAAATTGGCCACAACAGTATGGCTGTGTCCGAAACTGTATACTTCCATACTATAAAGAAGCTAAAATAGCTAAAATAAGTATGCGAGCCGAGTAGTATGTCCGAATTCATAGAATTCAAAATCAGTATGCGAGAAGCTCCCAGATGACCTACTTCTGAAGTGCGCATCCCATGCATCCCGCGCTATCCCATGATGCCCCGTGAGAGAATTCATGAATGGGAGTGAAGCAACACAACTGTACGTAAGTCACGTGACCATGACAAAATGGCGGATGCAGTATGTCTAAATTCCATTCATACTCACATTCATACTGTATAGAATGAATTTAAGTGCAATACCTACTGAGTAATAGGCGGTTTTAGATGCAACCTTTGGGTCAGCGTCTGAATGGGGTAGGCCAGGGGTGTCAAACTCAATTCCTGGAGGGCCGAAGCCCTGCACAGTTTAGTTCCAACCCTGCTCCAACACACTTACCTGTAGGTTTCAAACAAGCCTGAAGGACTCAATTAGTTTGATCAGGTGTGTTTAATTAGGGTTGGAACTAAACTGAGCAGAGCTGCGGCCCTTTTGGAACTGAGTTTGACACCTGTGGGGTAGGCTATATGTACAAGGACTTTTAATTTCAGCAAGCCACCCACATAGCAAAATTTCTCTGGCCCAGCTCTGGCCCACACAATCAGGTTTTGCTTGGCCCACATGCCGCAGTGAATTACGGTACATGACTGGACCAAATCTGGCTTCCAGACAAGGGCCAAACACGGACCATATCTGGGCCAAGTCTCAGCCAAGTTAATAACTCATAACTGGGCCTGAACTGGGCCAGATAGGTTGGTGTGTCACGATTGCAATGAAATTGATAAACCCATGGAGTGATGCGCTTTAGGCACACTATGGGCATGCTTTTTCTCAAAGTGACCTGATTGGAAGA